TTTAAATTTAGTGAAATAGAAAATTAATTAAGATCCAAGGATAAACCTTGATGATCTGATTTTAAAATTAAGTGAATTTAAGTTTAAAATGGTTTAAAGTTGTTTCAGAAAAAGATTTAGTAATTTAATGATATTAGTGAGCTTATGATTGCTGTTATGTTTAGGTGATGAAGCTGGGACATCAGATGATTTATGATTACTAACAATTTATTGTAATGCTACTAATTTTTATTTTCATTTTCAATAAATATTTTTCAAATATGTTTTATATAAGACTACAGAAATTAAGAAAACGATCTGAGATCTTTTTATCAATCGTTATTGTACATTAATAATTTTGTTTAGCGCCTGAAATGATCATGAAGATTGACTTCAAAATTTATGTTTGCAAATGAAAATCTAAATTCATTGCTGATAAGATTCTAAATACAAAAGTTTGTGTTGGCTTTTGCCGTACAATCATAAAACTAAATGGTAAGTTTCTACTTTGTCGTATGTCGTCTCTTGTTCGAGGTGTTCTTCCAATTCTGGGTAGTTCTATTATTGTTCGGAATATTGGCTCTGATCTATTGAGTCGTAGAGACATTTCGATTAAATTATTATCGTATAACATTTCGAAAATAATTTGTCTAAATTCTAATCTATTTTTGGTTAGTTCTAAGCTATTAAGGTCTTATTCGAGATTTATGGTCGCACCAGATGAGTTAGAACCGATGTGGTTAACTCATAGAGTAATTTCGGATAGGGTACACCGTCTGCTCGTCACGCTATCTTATTTTCGGCCGGATAGATTCGTGCAACTTCTTAGTCTAATACCGATCCTAATCTTACTCTTATACTTTTTAGTCTCAGGGTGTTTAACTAGTCTCTGCTAGGCTCAATAGATCTAGGGTATACTGGTTTATTGCGGCTGCTGAAGTTCTCTTGGAGAGACAACTAATTTCTAAGTTAAATTCAAATCTCTCTGGTGCTGAAATTACAAGTAATTTCAGCACTTATAAATAAGTGTGTTGTTAGTTAGATGAATTATGATTGGTTAATATTAAATACTTTACAGTGGTAAAACATCCAATTTATCCAATCATAAAATATAGTTTAGATCAGGTTCCAAATTACTGTTTTACTCGAACAAATAAGCGGTGAATTACTGCCTCAAAATTGCTGCCGCCTCGAAAGTGCTGCCTCACCTTTTTGTCGCTGCCAATGGAATCAACGTTGCCATCTGAATGTCTTTTTGGACCTGCATCTGGAATAATGAACAAAATTAACGAAGTATCTTTTTATTGTGCAAGTATCTTTTTATTTTCTGACTGCAGTAATCGTGTCAGATAAAGTCTACGATCTCCCTGCTGAATGAACTAACGAAGAATCTATCGCAAAATTTATATCGTTTTTAAAATGAGTGTATGATACAATAATTCATTTGTATAATATTAACGATTAAGCTCATGTTTTAATTAACCTTTAAATAAATGAACTAGTAACTTAAACAGTTTAGATTATACTTTACATGTGTATCCGAACAAAGAATCTCCCTTAATTGGTTTTGGTAAAAAAAAGAACTGTAGAAGTTAATCTAATACTGTAGTTTTTTTTTTTAATTTCAAAAATCGATAAAAAAATCATTACGCTGTAATATTTTTTTTCCAAACTTTAGATTATTAGAGTCACTCTTTTACTTCACTTCCCTCATTAGCCAAATCCGACTTACAGGAGAGTTCAGAGCAGTTTTTCTCAAAACTGATAATCGAAATCATATTTGTTCAAATGTCTTTTGAAAAAATCGAGCTGGAAAGTTTTGAACCAGATTCTACAACAGAGCCCCAACAATTTCTTTAGAATTGTTTAAAATCTCGTGAAAAACAAAATGCCAAAATTGTCCCCAAAATGCCAAACGAAAAAAAACTCATTTGAACAAAAATGACAAACATTGAAAAAACGAAACAATAGGTAGCAATTTGAAAAAAAAATAGAAAAATTTAAAAATATTAAATCAAAATGTTCATATCTTAGAAAATATTTTGCTTAAAGAAGTCGAAAGTCATTCTTGTGATTTCTGCTATTCGCAGATGATCTATGAAAAGCTATACACCCTGTCTAAGCAAAGTATTTTTTTCTTATTTCTCCACATTCTTCTTTGACTTATTTTGTTAAGCGAAGTTGTTTTTCTTTGCGACTCAAGACCGTGTTTTTGCGTCTAGATTTTTCACGTGGAACCACTATTGCAGCCAAAATTGCTGTGGTAGACCTGAAGCTAGAGGTCAAGTGAGAGCTCAGCCGCACACACTACCATGGCTATGGCAGGTTATCGATTACGCAATCTGACGATCTCAGAGTGATAGCTCGCCTTATCACTATGCTAGATGCCTAATTCGTCAGCATTAAATTAGCATTGCAGTAAAAATTATGAGTCGGTAACTGAAACAAAAATATATGAAACAATCATTGAGCCAAAAAATGGTAATCTCATTAAACTTGGGCTAGTAAATTTTTGACAGTTCTCTTATAGGTTAAAAAAACATTCTATCACGTATTTGCATTTTTGCGCTTAAATCAATAAAATATGAGGCGACTGAGTCGATATAATTTTAACCAAAATTATATCAGCCGAGAAAAACTTTATCAAAGAAGCGAAGCAAAAGTTTGCAGCACTTGCGGTACAACACAAACATAACATGACAAACTTACAGACAGAGAATGAGTCAAAATCTGCAGAAAAATTTTGAAACGCTTCAAAAAAATTGCCCTCTCAAAACCTTTATTTGCTTGTTTCGATTTGGCTTTTAAAAAATCCTGTGAAAAACCTTAATGTGTTTTCTAAAACCTTAATCTTGCAAAACCTCAATGTGTTTTTGCATTGATTTTGACTTATAAACTACCTCTTATTAAAAAAATGCCATTAGAAGATAATTGAATGATAAAATAGCATCAAAACATAAGTTACAAAGCGGTAAAAAGCCGGCATTTGTTGCGCAAACACAAGTTGAGCGGCGAATATTCTAATTTTTTAAAGAAAACTTCAAAACTAAATAAGAATTGAGCCTTCCCAAAATATTTGGGTTAAAACTTCAAACGATTCAAAATCAGGTCTCCGAGAAAGCATAATAAAGGCCAAAATATTTCAAGCTGAACGAAACTGAAAAAAATAGAAAAGAAAAATTTCAACCATAAGGAAAAAAAATGTTCAAAGAACGGGCAATTAAAAGCAAACATGCTTAACTTTTGTCTGTTAGTTGATAGAAAAAACAGTTTTGGAGATGACCACCATTTTCAGTGATCCTGTAAACAAATTCATTTTTTATCTTATTGAACAGTTGGCAATTAGGATCTCAGTAATCACTGCAAAAGAATACAGAGGGCTCCTTTTCGTTTTCCCCACACCTGCGAATTCGAACAGTCCGAGTGTTATAAAAGGTTTTTTCAAAGTTTGTTTTTTTTTGTAAATCCTCTCTCATTCCACAAATATTTGAGTAATTGAAGTGAATTTTTTGCAGTGCGCAGCAAAAATTCGCCGAATTTCGATGATGTAATTCATTGAGATAGTTTTTTTTCACGCAGGGTTTTTCGATTTAATGACCGTTCACAATACTTTGTGCTGAACAAGCTGCTATAGTATTGCATTAAAACAACCGAATGAAATGAACCAAAACACAATTTTTCAACCGTTTTTCTCAAATTCGGTTTGGCCGAAAAATGATAAGGACAAAAATTGCTTGAATTTTTACCAGCTTTTTATCAAGCATTTTTTTATGCAAAATTTGAAGCAAAGTTACACCGTTAAAATGAGTCAAATTGATTTCAAAAAATTGTAATTGACCCTAGTTACCTGTTTTTTTTTCATATGAATTGACACGTTTAAAAAGTGTTGGTTGAAAATTTTGCACAAAAAAAAATGCATAATGAAAAAGCTGGTAAAAATCCAAGCAATTTTTGTCCTCATCATTTTTCGGCCAAAAAACCGATTTTGAGGAAAACGGTTTAAAAATTCTGTTTTAGTTCGTTTTAATCGATTGTTTTATATCAGTACTATAGTAGCTTCAGCATAAAAAGCAGTGAATTAAGTTACACCATAAAATTTAATTACTCAAAAAGCTGTAAATTGATTCCATAGGTGATAATCTGCAACCAGTGTTTGCGTCAATTGAAGGCGTTCATAAACACCCTAAACCAGCAGCTGATTTAGGGGGGGGGGGGGGGCGAAAAGGCACTACTTAATACTATTTTACGAATGTTTCTAAGGGCGCCTTTAGCTACACGAAAGTATACTGATTTTGAGGGGGGAGCGCGCGCCAAATCAACGCAAGTTTTTTATCGAAACTTTCTTAAAAGGCCTTTTTTTCAAACACTCTCAAAAGCGAAAGATATGAAAACAATTTGATCGACCAGAAATAAGTTCTTCTTGATAGTTTGCTATCTTCGTTCCCGCAAGAAAATCATAGATCCCTGCCTGTCCTAGATGAAACTTCATTAGCACTCGTTGAAAAAATAGTCAATAAATGCAATCACAAAGTGTTTAAATGGTCAAACTTCCATCATCAAACTTGCATGCTCTACTCACCATTAAAATTGACGGACTTTTTTGCCGAAGCCATGCCAATTGTAGCTTTTCGTCAAACTAATCACGTGCTAATTGAAATGAAGCATACCTTACTCGCAACTCAATTGCAGCGACGGGAAAACTCAACTCTCTGAACCTATATTAGTTAAATGTTTTGAAATGAGAAAAATAGTACCCTGTCCTATTCCTCATATACCACAATTCGTTTTAACAGATAACAAAATTAGACTTTTCCTCGCTCAAAATCGGTTTTATGAGGCGACCAGTGGTTTAACGAACCTGCTTATAAGATGATATTAAGAGTTAGAAGTTGGCAATTCTACGTTCAATCAGAATAGGATGTCGATACGTTCAAAAGCGGTGAAGGGGAGGGGAGTAGGAGGAGGAAAAATAGCATGTCTCTTAGACAACAACTCATTTATTCAACACAAAAAAATTTCAGTTCAAATAAAAATATTTTCATTAACAAATTCTTCAGAATTCAAATTTCTCTCATCATCCAATTTACAGACTGCGTCATACTGTACACTCGCAAGTACTGCCATATACAATGCAGCCATCATAGAACAACTCAAAGTCAGTTTCGAAGTTCTTTTCAGCCAAAAAATGTATCTATTCAAAACTGACTTCTTTAAGGAAATGTTTTCACTCTTCTCTTCCAAGTTTCCCATGGTCATTCCAAGATAGACACAGAGGGGCGTGACATACAGTGCAGAAGATGCGGTGGCACACAGTGAAATGAGGCCATTTTTCATCACGTATGTGGGTTTGGAACACTGGATTCCATTTTCAAACAGGGGAAGGTCGATACCTGTGAAAACAAAAGAGCTGACTGAAGTTTATTATCTAGAAAAAGAAAGTTATTTACATGATTATTTCAAAACTCAGGCAAAAACTTGGCTCTTTGCAGTTCCCTCTTTAAAATTCAATTTTGAAAAGCATATTTAACGTTGTCATAATGCAATGAAATTTGGCATGGTGAACAAACTGAAAATTGTAAACAGATTTCTTCTTCATACTTCACATCGTAACAAAACGCATTTAGTCGAAGTAACATGTAAAATAAACATAAAACTCGATAATGTGAAAGGAGGGGAGAATGGAAAAGAGTCAAAAGATTTTATTAGAACTTAATTAAATTTTTGTAAATCGTAAATCCTGTAAATCGTAGTTAACATAAGAACATGAATCTAATTCATTATAGTCTCTCCTCAGAATACAATTCAACCTCATCTGGAACAATTATTTAGGGGTAAAACTAGTGACAGGAGATACTGTAAATACAAACACGAAATTTTTTTCTGGAATTTCAAAATGATCTGAAAAATTTGAAGGAAAAGTGTGTTGGCATAACAACGGAACATAATTTTTAATATTTCTTGTGCAAATTAAGTAAACAATTTCTACACAAAGTGAAGTTGCACTTCGCATACACAAGCAAAAATATGACCGATAACGCTACTGGGGAAAGCTGAATGATTAAAACTTTGAATCTACAAAATTTCTCAAGTGACGCACGCCAATTATGAGTCTACATAATTGTTAAGAGACGCAAGCCAATTATGACGCATTAGCAGTACCAGTCAATTTGAAAAAAAAAGAAACTTACCAACTTACATGCCTCAATAATTTATAGAGCGGACGCATTTTAACTAGTATACGAAAAATTTTATTAAAAACATCCGACCCTGCCCAGGTTCGAACCCTCTTATTTTCCCTACCTCTACGCTACAGATCCATGATACCTTGAAGCTAAAGTGCTATTTGTAATATAATAGTATGTGTTAATATCCTTAGCATTGGCTTTAATTAATAGCTGCTTATTGATCAAAACGAACACTTTCAAAATGAACACATTTTTTGCAACAATATTTGCGTCGCAACAATTATATCGGAAAAAAGAGAGTTCATACTATAATACAAGCTTTGCTTGTGTGATACAAATTTTATGTTTTTATATTTACACAGAGGGAAACTGAAAAAGAGTCAATTTTGTTCCCACCATTGAGCGTGAAAATTACCAGTCCTACTACATTGACCTCTGTGAAAAATGATAATGACGGGAAAAGTCTAGTACCCGGTTGCAACATCCTTCCTGATGTCAAGGGTCATTAAAAAGATCAAGTGACCTATTTCGGCATTATATTGCTAGCTACTTTCTCGGACAGAATTCATTTATCAAGGTTGTTTGATAGATTGTTTTTGTTGTGCAGACCATTAAAAATGGGGAGCATTTTGGTGTTCGGGTGTTCTAGTTTTTTTCCCGGCAAATCAGATACCACAAATAATCATCTGACTGGGTTGAAGGATATGTCATAATAAATCACTCTCAGTCGTGATTCGAATGGCATTTAAAAAATGTTCCCAGTGTCTAGAAAAACTGCTTTGAAAATTTTGATTTTTCGTCTAACTTCGAGCGAGAAAAGTGAGCGAGCAGGTAATATAGAAGTATAGTCGCAGATTAGCAACTAGTAAATAATACATGAAGTTTTATTCAAGCCCTGAAAACAATAAAATAAGTTTTCAAAGTTCTTTATGGCTATCTTCGGAATAAAACTTTTAAAAAACTTCTAGAAAAAAAAATATTTCAAATTACTATGAATAACCCAAAATCTGGTCTTTAGTTATCACTTACATCACACCACACACAAAAAAAAATGAAAATAATTTTAAAAAACTTCTTTCCTGTAATTTTTTTAAGAATATGGTCGGAACATTCTTTGCTAGTTGCACAGCAACCGGCTATCATTATTATTTTTATCTCTTTGTCCGATCCTTTTGCAAATTTTTATAATCATGATCATATCTCACCCATTTTATAGATGAGGACTGAGACGATGCCTGGTATGACTACTGCGGGTAGTAGAGCTGCCCCGTATGTCTGTTGACCCCACTTACATCCAAGTCCCATGTCCCTTCTCAACAGACGGTACACTCTACCTCCTGTTAGTCCTCCGAAGAACAAAGCCAGTGCAGGGGGGAACATTGAACAGAAAAAGAAAACGGTCGACACTTATGCATATATGCAGGGGCGGATTTAGGGGAGTGCGGTGACGCCCCCCCTCAGGGATTCAACCCCTGCCGAATCAAAGGGTCCCCCTTTCGTAGTATTTTGAGATATCCATTTTGGTGACGTACCGGAAAAATTTTCTGGTGCCTCGGCGCCAATATATACTAATTTTGAGGGAGAGCGCGCCGAAAAAAAATTACGATTTCTTGGTCAAAATGTTCCAAAAGTGCCTAAAAAATCGTTTTTTGGCCTGCTTTTCAAAATTTTGCCTGCGGCGCATACAATTTGGCCAAAACAGATTCATTTTAATGCTTTGGGAAAGCTCGGAAAATCAATTTGTTCGACCGAAAAAATTGACGACAAAATTTTGAAATTTTTTAAAAATCGCCCCCCCCCCCCCTCGAGAAAATCCTAGATCCGCCCCTAGGTTTAAGTGGGAATTTATTCAGAAAACAAAAAATTTACCATAATACCAAGGTAAATATAATTGTGTTTCATGATTAAATTTAATTTTTTCAAAAGATCCAGCCTTTGTTAATTGAATTGAAAAACGGAATCTAAGTTTTACAAAAGAGTAAAAACAAGCGCTTAGATATCATTTTAAATATTAATGCAGAGCTGGCACCTTATGTCATTAACCTGTCTAGACTACGCCATAAAACTACTGCTTTATGTTTATTCATACTTAAACAATTTTTTTTCCTATGTTTTCTTTTATGTTTTCGCATATTTTTTCATTTTCTTTGAAGAGATAAAACTTTCTTTTCGTATTTCATTTTATAAAACGGGCAGTGCTCTGTAACCCTATAGGGTTCGTTAACTGTCCCCTTACTGATTCTGGTACTTCATGTTAAAACTTTCGTTATAAGCATATATACCATTAACAATGAGAAATAAATTCTTCTTATAAAAATTATTAATCAGGTTTGCCAATGAAAAAAAAAAACATTTAAGAACAATAGCTTACGGGACGTGATGAAAAACTGATCTGCAGGCGAGAGTCTTTTAATCCTTCCCGTTCTCTCCGTTTCAGGAGAATGTGCTACCACTTTGGTCGAACTGATAATTGACCCCGACCCCTCCCGTAGCTCATTTCCGCTATTTGAACCCCATTGATCTTCAGAAAGGTTTTCTTTTGAGAGGTCTCTACTGGAATGGTCGAGGCTATCCCACTTACCGTGTGACTTCAGTCTGCCCGATAATGAACTCTGATTTGCGCCCATGATTGTCTACATTTTAAGTCTTCTAAAAATATTTTCAAAAATTATTATAAAATTGAACCGATTCTAACTAATACGCAACGCATTGTATTTTCTTGCCGATTCAGCCAGAGAGCAGAAAAAAAGAAATAAAGGTGCCACCTTTTTCAAACTCAGAGTTTGGGCTAATTTATCTCTCTTCCCACACAGATAAATTATTTTGCCTCTTCTTTTTTCATCAATTGGACAAAGAACCTTGCATGTGGATTTCAGAAGAAAAAAAGGCTGCATTTTTGCTAGAAAACTTAGACTCACATTCTCACTTTACTCTGGTGAGTGGCTGAGTACAATAAGTGGGCCAAAATGGACAATTGATGAAAAATTTGCTTCAATTGAAGGCTCACTACTGAGCTGATAGCTTTACTTTTGAAACTATAAATTACGTAATTCAAATGAAGAAAAAGTACTATATTCTAACGACATGAATGCCGACGACAAGACTTAAAGTTTCACACTTTACCAATCAGGCCAGATTCACCTTCCCTTTTTAAATTAAACATGAAAATATTCGACTTAATACCTTTTCTCCATGCTCTTACAAAGAACCGTATTTGTTTGGTCTTTAATGTGCTTAGTTCTGCTAGCGTAACATGTGATAAATGGCAGCATTACGTCTTTGATCAAATCGGCGATATCCTACTTTGAATGTCCACTTCAGGCTTTCCAGCAATAACTAGGAAAAACATGATGAAAACAAGACTGCTCGTATATTACGGCGAAGCCCTGAGTATTCCGACTGAACTGTAAGGTCGCTTCAAAAGTTTTTTTTGTTTAAACAAAGACGAAATAATCGCAGAAAAAAAAACAAACCGTTTTCAGAAATGAGCAATTCTTTGAAAGGTCCATAATGACTAATGATTCTCAAATTTTCTACAAATCAAGTTTTGCAAAAGAATGCACCGTTGAAAAAGAGACTAGGGATCAAGTTAAAATCCTTACCCCCAAATAGACAAGTTAAGATCCTCCACCCCTAAGTTTAATTTAAATTAAGTTTTGTAAGAGCTGCGTGTAAAATGCATTGTTCTGATTGGCGGAAAATTCAAACTCAGAACCAAGTTAGCATCTTCCCCCTAAACGTGTTTGAGGAGAGAATGTGAACTTGGTCCGAGACTAAAATTACTCTTGAAATTGGCAACCTGGAAGTATTCTTAACTACGTATCGAACGCCTGCTTCATTCTTCCGACTTTCAAAGAAAGTGACGGAACAATTGTGCTCGGGTGTTTTTTTTCTTCAGACAAAATTCGACTTTTTAACTAGCCATTTTTGACGGAATTTTTTTATTTCATTTGAAACGTATTGTTGTCCTAAGCTCAAATTTACAAAAAATTTCACCTGTGATCATTTTTCGAAATCTTATGAGGGTTTGAAAATTGCCATTTTGGCCAAATTGGGACAATTAGGCGCGTTATATTGAACGCTATTAATGCGTTAGCTGAGATGTAATCCGTCATAGAAATCGTTTCAATTTTGTTGAAGCAGCCTATTTGCCATAATTACTATGTTACTTGGAGCAAAATCTTTAAATTTTTACTTTATATGGTTTGATTAAAAAAAACTCAATTTAAAATTTTTTTTTTGAAAAATTCACCTATTGTCATAAAGCGAACACAGATTCAATGAACTTATAGGGCAATAGGAACATTAGGGGTAAAACTAGTGACAGGAGATACTGTAATTACACACGGAAAAATTTTTCTGGAATTTCAAAATGATCTGAAAAATTTGAAGGAAAAGTGTGTTAGCATAACAACGGAACATATTTTTTAATATTTCTTGTGCAAATTATGTAAACAAATTCTACACAAAGTGAAGTTGCACTTCGCATACACAAGCAAAAATATGACCGATAACGCTTCTGGGGAGAACTGAATGATTAAAATTTTGAGTCTACAAAATTTCTCAAGTGACGCACGCCAATTATGAGTCTACATAATTGTTAAGAGACGCAAGCCAATTATGACGCATTAGCAGTACCAGTCAATTTGAAAAAAAAAAGAAACTTACCAACTTACATGCCTCAATAATTTATAGAGCGGACGCATTTTAACTAGTATACGAAAAATTTTATTAAAAACATCCGACCCTGCCCAGGTTCGAACCCTCTTATTTTCCCTACCTCTACGCTACAGATCCATGATACCTTGAAGCTAAAGTGCTATTTGTAATATAATAGTATGTGTTAATATCCTTAGCATTGGCTTTAATTAATAGCTGCTTACTGATCAAAACGAACACTTTCAAAATGAACACATTTTTTGCAACAATATTTGCGTCGCAACAATTATATCGGAAAAAAGAGAGTTCATACTATAACACAAGCTTTGCTTGTGTGATACAAATTTTATGTTTTTATATTTACACAGAGGGAAACTGAAAAAGAGTCAATTTTGTTCCCACCATTGAGCGTGAAAATTACCAGTCCTACTACATTGACCTCTGTGAAAAATGATAATGACGGGAAAAGTCTAGTACCCGGTTGCAACATCCTTCCTGATGTCAAGGGTCATTAAAAAGATCAAGTGACCTATTTCGGCAACATATTGCTAGCTACTTTCTCGGACAGAATTCATTTATCAAGGTTGTTTGATAGATTGTTTTTTGTTGTGCAGACCATTAAAAATGGGGAGCATTTTGGTATTCGGGTGTTCTAGTTTTTTTTCCCGGCAAATCAGATACCACAAATAATGGGTTGAAGGATATGTCATAATAAATCACTTTTAGTCGTGATTCGAATGGCATTTAAAAAATGTTCCCAGTGTCTAGAAAAACTGCTTTGAAAATTTTGATTTTTCGTCTAACTTCGAGCGAGAAAAGTGAGCGAGCAGGTAATATAGAAGTATAGTCGCAGATTAGCAACTAGTAAATAATACATGAAGTTTTATTCAAGCCTTGAAAATAATAAAATAAGTTTTCAAAGTTCTTTATGGCCATCTTCGGAATAAAACTTTAAAAAACTTCTACAAAAATTTTTTTTTCAAATTACTATGAATAACCCAAAATCTGGTCTTTAGTTATCATTTACATCACACCACACACAAAAAAATGAAAATAATTTTAAAAAACTTCTTTCCTGTAATTTTTTTAAGAATATGGTCGGAACATTCTTTGCTACTTGCACAGCAACCGGCTATCCTTATTATTTTTATCTCTTTGTCCGATCCTTTTGCAAATTTTTATAATCATGATCATTGCTCACCCATTTTATAGATGAGGACTGAGACGATGCCTGGTATGACTACTGCGGGTAGTAGAGCTGCCCCGTATGTCTGTTGACCCCACTTACATCCAAGTCCCATGTCCCTTCTCAGCAGACGGTACACTCTACCTCCTGTTAGTCCTCCGAAGAACAAAGCCAGTGCAGGGGGGAACACTGAACAGAAAAAGAAAACGGTCGACACTTATGCATATATACAGGGGCGGGTTTAGGGGGGTGCGGTGACGCCCCCCCTCAGGGATTCAACCCCTGCCGACTCAAAGGGTCCCCCTTTCGTACTATTTTGAGATATCCATTTTGGTGCCGTAGCGGAAAAATTTTCTGGTGCCTTCGGCGCCAATATATATTTTTGAGGGAGAGAGCGCGCCGAAAAAAAACACGATTTCTTGGTCAAAATGTTCCAAAAAGTGCCTAAAAAATCGTTTTTGGCCTGCTTTTTCAAAATTTTGCCTGCGACGCATACAATTTGGCCAAAACAGGTTCATTTTAATGCTTTGGGAAAGCTCGGAAAATCAATTTGTTCGACCGAAAAAATTGTCGACAAAATTTTGAAATTTTTTCAAAAATCCCCCCCCCTCGAGAAAATCCTAGATCCTCCCCTAGGTTTAAGTGGGAATTTATTCAGAAAACAAAAAATTTACCATAATACCAAGGTAAATATAATTGTGTTTCATGATTAAATTTAATTTTTTCAAAAGATCCAGCCTTTGTTAATTGAATTGAAAAACTGAATCTAAATTTTACAAAAGTGTAAAAACAAGCGCTTAGATATCATTTTAAATATTAATGCAGAGCTCGCACCTTATGTCATTAACCTGTCTAGACTACGCCATAAAACTACTGCTTTATGTTTATTCATACTTAAACAATTTTTTTTCCTATGTTTTCTTTTATGTTTTCACATATTTTTTCATTTTCTTTGAAGAGATAAAACTTTCTTTTCGTATTTCATTTTATAAAACGAGCAGTGCTCTTAACCCTATAGGGTTCGTTAACTGTCGCCTTACTGATTCTGGTACTTCATGTTAAAACTTTCGTTATACGCATATATACCATTAACAATGAGAAATAAATTCTTCTTAGTAAAATTATTAATCAGGTTTGCCAATGAAAAAAAAAAACACTTAAAAACAATAGCTTACGGGACGTGATGAAAAACTGATCTGCAGGCGAGAGTCTTTTAATCCTTCCCGTTCTCTCCGTTTCAGGAGAATGTGCTACCACTTTGGTCGAACTGATAATTGACCCCGACCCCTCCCGTAGCTCATTTCCGCTATTTGACCCCCATTGATCTTCAGAAAGGTTTTCTTTTGAGAGGTCTCTACTGGAATGGTCGAGGCTATCCCACTTGCCGTGTGACTTCAGTCTGCCCGATAATGAACTCTGATTTGCGCCCATAATTGTCTACATTTTAAGTCTTCTAAAAATATTTTCAAAAATTATTATAAAATTGAACCGATTCTAACTAATACGCAACGCATTGTATTTTCTTGCCGATTCAGCCAGAGAGCAAAAAAAATAAAGGTGCCACCTTTTTCAAACTCAGAGTTTGGGCTAATTTATCTCTCTTCCCACACAGATAAATTATTTTGCCTCTTCTTTTTTCATCAATTGGACAAAGAACCTTGCATGTGGATTTCAGAAGAAAAAAAGGCTGCATTTTTGCTAGAAAATTCAGACTCAGATTCTCACTTTACTCTGGTGAGCGGCTGAGTACAATAAGTGGACCAAAATGGACAATTGATGAAAAATTCGCTTCAATTGAAGGCTCACTACTGAGCTGATAGCTTTACTTTTGAAACTATAAATTACATAATTAAAATGAAGAAAAAGTACTATATTCTAACGAGATGAATGCCGACGACAAGACTTAAAGTTTCACGCTTTACCAATCAGGCCAGATTCACCTTCCCTTTTTAAATTAAACATGAAAATATTCGACTTAATACCTTTCCTCCATGCTCTTACAAAGAACCGTATTTGTTTGGTCTTTAATGTGCTTAGTTCTGCTAGCGTAACATGTGATAAATGGCAGCATTATGTCTTTGATCAAATCGGCGATATCCTACTTTGAATGTCCACTTCAGGCTTTCCAGCAATATCTAGGGAAAACATGATGAAAACAAGACTGCTCGTATATTACGGCGAAGCCCTGGGTGTTCCGACTGAACTGTAAGGTCGCTTCAAAAGTTTTTTTTGTTTAAGCAAAGACGAAATAATCGCAGAAAAAAAACAAACCGTTTTCAGAAATGAGCAATTCTTTGAAAGGTCCATACTGACTAATGATTCTCAAATTTTCTACAAATCAAGTTTTGCAAAAGTATGCACCGTTGAAAAAGAGACTAGGGATCAAGTTAAAATCCTTACCCCCAAATAGACAAGTTAAGATCCTCCACCCCTAAGTTTAATTTAAATTAAGTTTTGTAAGAGCTGCGTGTAAAATGCATTGTTCTGATTGGCGGAAAATTCAAACTCAGAACCAAGTTAGCATCTTCCCCCTAAACGTGTTTGAGGAGAGAATGTGAACTTGGTCCGAGACTAAAATTACTCTTGAAATTGGCAACCTGGAGGTATTCTTAACTACGTATCGAACGCCTGCTTCATTCTTCCGACTTTCAAAGAAAGTGACGGAACAATTGTGCTCGGGTGTTTTTTTTCTTCAGGCAATATTCCACTTTTTAACTAGCCATTGTTGACGGAATTTTTTTTATTTCATCTGAAACGTATTGTTGTCCTAAGCTCAAATTTACAAAAAATTTCACCTGTGATCATTTTTCGAAATCTTATGAGGGTTTGAAAATTGCCATTTTGGCCAATATGGGACAATTAGGCCCGTTATATTGAACGCTATTAATGCGTTAGCTGAGATGTAATCCGTCTTAGAAATCGTTTCAATTTTGTTGCAGCAGCCTATTTGCCATAATTACTATGTTACTTGGAGCAAAATCTTTAAATTTTTACTTTTTATGGTTTGATTAAAAAAAACACAATTTAAAAAAAATTTTTTTGAAAAATTCACCTATTGTCAAAAAGCGAACACAGATTCAATGAACTTATAGGGCAATAGGAACATTCGGGTCTTCACCCTGATACGAGAAATCTTGTCTCATATTGGAACGCAATAATCCGCCATTTACGCGTGCTAAAAAATGCAAAATAAAAAATGTTGCTCACTTCAGACAGAATTTACAGATCGCTCAAAAAGGCAAATAAGGCAGAAAATAATGAAAAACAAAAACTTCAAAAACTGTTTCAAACAAAAAAATTTAGCAATCAAAAAGTTGTTAGAAGGACGATGAGCTTATGAAAAACAAAACAATGTAAGCAACGAAACCATTTTAATCGCAGAATAAACGAAAAACCTTATGCAAAATTTGAGTAAACAAATTGAAAAAATAACAGGACGGCTGTCAATGATGAAACAAGTTGTCTCAACCAAAAAAACCATGCTAAGAAAAACCATGCCGACAAATAGTAAACAAACAAACGAAAGTCCAAAAATTTCCTTTCTACCAAACAAAAACAACGTCCGACCGAAACTCGAATCCAGACCTAGTGCAAAGACAACCGCATTACATCTGAACCAAATAACAAGAAGCCTAAAAGTAATTTAAGTTTATTAAAAGCAATTTCTACAAACGCGTAGAAAACTACTGATTTCGACACTATCAGCAAAATTTCTCTGCAAAAGATGAATGACAAAAAAATTAAAAACAAATGTATATATATTTTTTTCTAGAAAACCTTTATTGACAAAAAGTACTTAAAGAAACATTCTAAACTACTTTTTTATTTAGTCAAATTATATATTATTAGTCTAAAAGCCTAAATTAAAGTAAAATTTCATAACAATCATTACTCGATCGCTTTACTTGCTCAAAAATGTAACAAAATAAAAATAATTTAACGAAATTTTTTTTGATGTTCGAATCACGACTGAAAGTGCTTTAATTTAGTATATCGTTCCATCTTTTCAGATGCTACTTGTGGTACCTGATTTTGCGTGAAACCAAAACTATAGCCAACCGAAGACTGGAAACGAGTAGTGAACGCAATTATACATAAAAAACACTGACTTTGTTGAAAAAAAATTTCGAATTTCAAAGAAAAAAATAGATGCCCCTTAAGCTCTTTGAAATTCCAGAATTTATAACTGGCGCTTTTTGATAACATCAACCCAACTTGAGAAAACTGGATCAACAAATAAAGTTTTTATTCCGTTGGAATCTAAAAACTAAATTCCACTTTCGAAATTAGAAACCGTTCACGAAGTTTCGCTGCATTTGCACGTTCGTATTTACGCCACTCTCATCAGCTGAATTTCAATTAACTCAAAAAGTGCATATATACCTAAATGCATCAATATTTTAAGACTTTTTCTAAAAAAAAATCAGCAAGACCCATGTGAGAGTCTTCACTACGTTCCACTCTTTAAAAACAAAAAAACAAGGATAGCCGGTTACTTTACAAGTAGCACAGAATGTTTCGACTATGGTCTTATAAAATACAACACTTTTTTTAAAAATACATTTAATTTTCGGTATGGTGTGACAAAAAACCTGAGCAAAAAACTTAAAATGAGGCAAATGCGAGTCATAATCAATTAGGCGAAATAGAAAAACTTTTGAAGAAAATTGACTAGAAAACCGAAAAAAAATTCGTAAAATTAACCTCAAAAATTTTCAGAAAATTTTGCAGTAAGTTTTTGAACTTTTCGACACTGAAAAATTTTTTTGTTCCAATCACGACTGAAAGGACTTTCATATGATATATCACACGACCCATTCCGAGTATTATTTGTGGTACCCGATTTAGCGTGGAAAAAAAATTAAACATGCTCGAACACAAAGTTCCTTCACATTTTTAGATGCTTGGAACAAAGAAAAAAAAACATTTTAAATTTTCTTCAAATTAGTGTCGCTTTTAGTGAATGGTCTGCTTAAAAACTTAAGACTGAAATAATGCTGGCAGTCAAATAGATCTACGCTCACGTTCAGCTTTTGTAATGGTATTGCATGGAAGAGCGACAAGGTAAAAAACCAGAGCACAAAAACCTAAAAAATGGAATATCATAATGGGCAAAACTTTCTGATTACGAAAATAATTCAAAAGCTGCTTGGCAACGCTCAACTATACAACCAAAAAAAAATGTTTCAGGTTTCAAATTCAAGATAGCTCGTTATCTGGGAAACAGTCGAAACCGACGGAAATTTAACGAAAAAAAACTCACGAAAAATAGTAAGTTGAAAAGAGTACGACGACGCTGCATGAACCCATATTTGGTTCCGGCTATCAAAGGGAAAATCACACTTGATTTTTCTATCTCATGCTACATTCTTTCTCAAAGAAAAATGAGGGAAAACAATCAATTCGACTTGTATTATAAGGAGATAAAGTAGCTTTACATATTTACATACATACAAGAGCCTAAGGATGACCTTCAATTTGATCGAGTATAACAAGATATAAACGCAAAACTAATGTAAATGAGATAGAAAGAACGTGATAAAAGTACAAATGGAAGCTAACGTAATGATCAGTTTATTAAGTAACAAGACGCATTATAATTGCACTGAAGATTTGGGTTCAATTTTAAGGCTGAGCGATTCTAGGCACATACTCATTGACCTGGCAATACATACAAGTAAAACGCTGCTTTATCCAAGTTTTCAACTGGAAATCAGTGGGTTGAGTTCGAAATTATATCATGATTATCATCAGCGTACAACTGATACCCTGCTTTTCACTGCTGCTCGTTCAAAACGGTTCCTGTTTTCTCCACTAATAAATTCAGCTTTTGCTCCAATTCCTTCCTCTTTCTGCTATTTGCATCTAACATCCTCAGGAACTCTTCATCAGTGCCTGTAAAACATTAATTTATTTGTAGTCTGTATGAATTTTTCAGTCACAACAATCACAATTTCATGGTACCTAATTTCAATCAAAATTTAAACTTTCATTCTGCAAATTTTCCGAGGGAAACGCACTTCTTATGAACTACATTAAAACCAAGCTGCTTAATTCTAATTGTACCTTCTGTATCCAAATAAACATACAATAACTTTGTTCGTGATAACTATCTGCTAAAAAAGTGAGAGTGACAATTAGCGAGAAAAAAAACAGCTGAGAGTAGTAGAATACCTGTACTGTTAGCCACCCGATCACCATCTGCGTCAAAAGATACAGCTGACAGCTCATTTCGCAAATGATCTCCGTTTTCATTATTATGACTCATTTCTAACATCGCAGGCGTGTGACTCCTAACTGAATCCAATCCTTCTTGAGAAGCATTCAAAGATATCAGCGAATGGAACGATTGATTCATTAGCTCATCTTCACTGTTGTAAGTAAACGACATCTCCTGAACTGACATTCTCTTAGAAGCCTTCGATTTCATGCCTGCAGCGTTCTCGTCTCCGTTCGAAAGAGGAACTTTGTAAGTTCTCCCTTTTTTGGACTCCAATTGATTTTGAACATCATTATTTGGGTTTTTCGGGACTTCACATTCCATGTTTTCCTTGACTTTCCGAAATATGTCAGCAACATCTGCAGATATTTCTAGGAATGGACTATCTGCGCCTCTAGAAGTGTCATTAAGTTTCTTAGGAGGCGCACTTTTTGGGGCAACTTTATCTGCGCTTATATTAGGCGACGATTTTTCTGGCCTCAAATTTTCTCTTGCATTCACATTTTGCCGAGCCGTTTCTTCGTTGCTCATCAGACCAGTAGACTTGAGAGCTCTTGAATCAGAATACGTTCTCTGCAGAGTCTGATGCGGTTTCAGTAGACCTTGAGATTCAACTGACCTTTGGGTTTGACCTTCACTTGGCGAAGGCATTTCCATCGCTTGTTGTTGCTCATCATGTGGCAAGTAGTGGAAATTTAGCAACATTGGGTCACTTCTGATTTCCGTCATTCTATCAATACTAGGAACTGTTCTTGGAGACACCCCTGAGTTTGTACTTGCTACGACACCTTTACCTGTAATTGAACTGAATTTAGGCACATTATTTCCCGCAGGGTAAACAGCACCAGATAATCCGTTATCAAGTCTGTGTTTCTGATGTTTGCGATGATGTTGTTTTTGCATGGCGTCATATCTTTCATCGGGGTGACCTTGATAAACTTGATCCGTATTTTGCTCAAAGGTGTAACTTGTTGGAGAATCCGGACTGTTCAAAGTCCCATTGGACGAAGCGCCTTGATTGTTCATATTACTCGAACTTAAGTAAAAGGCTTGGTTATTTTTGAAATAATTAATCTGGTTGATCGCCTGGGCTAAATCATTGCGTAATATTTGTTCACGCATCGAACTCTGTTGCATGTCTTGGGCTATTTTCTGCATATGGAAATCTTTGGTCGACAAGGATTCTTTAAATTGATCATGCTGCTCCTTTAGCTCTTTGTTATGTTCTTCTGTTAGCTTTTCAACAACTGTTTTAAGCCGAGATATTTCATCAGTGACCGCAACTTTCAGTTTACTTTCTCTCAGCTCATATTTCTCAACTGAAGTTTTCAAAGTTTGAACTTCCGAGTCTTTTAAATTAAGCTCCTCACTCAAACTCTTCTTTGACGCATTCAAAGCATTAGTTTCACTTTCTAACTTTTTCAGTTTTTCGTCTAATTCGGAATTTTTTCTATACATTTTCGACATTTCAGCTTCACATGTTTTAATATCTTCTCTCAGTTTGACATTTTCAGATCTGACCTTTTGAACTTCTTCGCTTTTTTCAGATGCACTCCTTGTGACTTCTTCCAACTTCTTCAAGTTTGAGTCATCTAATTTGACAATGGAATCCAATTTTCCGGTCAAAAGTGAAATTTTATCTTCTCGCATTGAAATTTGGTCATCCTTCATGACAAGCTGACCTTCCAACACTTTGACTTTCTGCTCTGAATCTTGGAAAGAAGTCTTCACTTTTTCCAATTTCTGTTCCAGTTCTGTGACTTTATTTTCCACATCTTCTTTGCACATATTTCCGACTTGATTTCGGTGTTCCAATTCTAAAATTTTCTGCTGCTTGTTGGCACAGTCGATTTGTTTTTCCGACAGCAAACTCTGTAAAATACCAATTTGATCATTTGATTGAGTTAAATCATCTCTCGTACTTTCAAGTGATGCTTTTAGATTCTGCATCGAACTCTGGAGTTCCTTCACTTTTTCCGACAGTGCTTTATTGTGAGCTAAAATATCTTGTGAGCCCTGATAATAATCTGAAAAGGTTCGGTCAATTTCTTTGTACCTTTCGCGTGTTATATTCAACTCATCCGCCAATTTCAAATTTTGAGCAGTCTTCAATTTCATTTCATCTTGCAGCTCGCAGACCAACTCCTCTGCCTCCTTTTTATTTTGAATTTCTTTTTCTAAAATATTCGATTTCATCTCCAATTGTTCGATGAAGCTTTTGATTTTACTATCGTTATCTTTGCACAAATCTTCCAGCTGCGCAACTTTCGCAATTTTCAACTCTAAACTTTCATTCGCCGAACTCAATTTTTCCTGCGTTTCATTCAGCTCCGAGTTCACACTTTGATACAATTTGTTCAGATCTTCGAACCTGTTTTCAAAATCTGAGCTGTCTTTTGAATGTTTTTCAAGCATTTCCGATTTTTCTTTCAACATTTCGGCAATGTGCAGTTCTAGCTCGCTGATTTTTCCATCTTTACATATTGCTTCCGCCTCTAATTCTTTCACATGTTTGTCCATAGCAGACAACTCAGTTTTTGTTGCCGTCAACTGCGATTCATACTTGTTGACTTTACCTCTCAAATCTTCAATTTCGATGCCATAATTTTCACTTTCCAAGTCAAAAGTATCTTTTTGATGTCTCAACTGAAGATTTAGCTTTTCGACTTCTTCTTTATAAACTCCTAAGGCACTTTCCAAATGTTTAATTTGCTTGCGTTTTTCCTCTTGCACTCTTGAACTTTGTTCCTTCAATTGATTGTGAGCTGAATTTAGAGAGGTCAACTCACCTTTGACCGATTCCAAATTTGGCATCATAACGTCGAAATGCGACTGGAGTTCCTTAATAGTTCGGTCTTTGTTATCCACAGTAGAAGCCAGAAGTTCGAAGTTCCCCGTCAACTCTTTCAATTCTTCTCGAAGCTGGTCAATATGATTTTGGTACTCTTCCTCTTTTTCTCGAAACTCCTCCAGATTTTGTTCCAATTTTTTGCTCACGTTATCATATTTACACACTCCCTCATTGTACGCCAATTTTAATTGATGATACTCCATTTGCGATCTTTTCAGTTTTCCTTCAACAGTTATTATTTCATTTTTGGCATCTTCAACTTTAACCTTCAACACACTTATTTCCTTTCTACACTTTTCAAGCGAGTTCTGTTTCTGTTGGTTATCTCGCTCTAGTCTCATTACTAAACAGTCATTTGCGTTTATGAAGTTTTTAGCTTCGTCGTACTGAGAACTCCATAAACTCAACTGAGACTTCACCGCTTCTAGTTCCGAGTTTTTCGATTTCAAGCTGTTTTCTAGTTCTTTGATCTGTTTTCTCAGTCTCACTTTTTCTGCTTCCATCACCGAATATTCATGCATGTCTGGCTCTGCAATATTGTCCGAATTCACTCTCTCCGAATAAAAACCAACATTATCTAGACTGGTTGTCGATATTGCACATTTTATACTATTTAATTCCGATTCCTTCGAAATCAAAATTTGCCTCAAGCTCTCAATTTCTCTGTTCAAATGCTCATGATTTTGAATTTCAGAACAGCTGCAAGCGTTTGTACGCTTCAGAGATTCTAGTTCGAGTTTCGCGTCAGACAGCGCCGTTGAGGTTATTGTGTTTGACTCTTTGAGCAATTCGTTTTCATGCTTACAGCTTTCCAATCTTCCATTTAGATCTTGAATTCGTTCATCTTTGCTTTCGGCTAATCGCTTCATATCTTCAATCTGCAACTGCAGTTCCTTCACACTGTCCTCTTTGACCTTCATTGAATTTTGACAAGTTTCGATTTGCTTTTTCAGGTCTTCAATTTCTCCTTTCAGTCCGCTTTCGGAGTCTCCCAATCTTTCCAATTTGTTCTTGGTGTGGTTCCGGAACTCGCCCATGTTTTTCGTCATCTCCTCCAGATTCTTCACTGCCTCGCTTCTCTGTTTCTCCACGCTTTGTTTATCCTCTGTGATGTTTTTCAACTGCTGTTTCAGATGGTCGTTCTCTTCCACGGCAATAGCTGCAAATTGCAAACAATTTTTTACTTACAAAAGAAAAACCTAAGAAGAGGCACCGAAATGAATAAATCTTAGGAAACAAACTCAACAGAGCCGAGATCCCTGTGTTAGACAAGCTCTTCTCTCTGAAAAAAAGTATCATTCTTACTCAGATCATGTTTTTATAGTATTTCCTTTTGAAAATTGTTCCATTGTCAGCAATTACTACTACCCATAAGATTCTTACCTCTCTGTGTTTCGGAGTGTGCCAGCTGCTGTTGGTAAGCTGCTAGTTTGGACTCCGTCTCCCTCAGTTTCTTGTCCTGGATCCTTACCTCACTCTCCAGACTCAGAATCCTCTGGTCGAACGTGCGCAGGTGCTCACCCTGAACTGCACTCTTCCCACCAACCTCCTTCAGGTGTCTCTTCAGTGCCGCCAGTTCAAACCTGAAGCTCAACTTCATCAGTCACGCACATAACAACTCCTAGTACCTTGAATGCACGCAAGATGTTTCAATAAATCAAAATGTTAATTCCTATACCAAACCATGAGCGTTAAATAAAAACCCATTGTGGTTACACGACTTCAGAATCAAAATTATGCGTTTTACTTTTAAGCACAAGTCGATTTTTTAAGATAAAGCCAAAAGATGGAAGCCACGTGGAGAACGTTGATGCTGTGGCTCAATACCATTATGTATGCAAACCTTTCTTTCGAAGCCCAACATGATTCGCAGCACAAAAATCTTGCATGAAACATGCATTAATGTCCTGTTCTAATCGATTTGGGAGTTTAACTGGAAAAGCACGCTCATTGCTTCGTTTTCGTTTAGATAGAAGAACTTAAGCTAGCTACATTATAACGCAACATAAAGAGTGCCACCACAAGTAACTGATAGAAGTGACTAAGTTTTGTCTATATTGATGCCTTAAATATCATCTGCAGCATACTTCGATTTGATGGACTGCGAACGCTTAAGTGCAGTGCGACTGAAAAACAATCCGTTTCCAGGTTCCAAATATCATGAATCAATTTAATTTAACGCCGCTTTTAATGAGAATCGAACAGACCTTTTCTCGCAGCTAGTTCTGATATAAGGCAAAAAAGCAAAAAGTTATGTACAATTGCTTCAATTACATTGCGGTGAAAAAAATTTCAAGTCTGATAACTAAATTGTTATTTGTTTTTAATTGGCTTTTTAAAATGCACCAAAATGTACCTGATTCCAATGTACCAAAAGGTAGCTTCCTAATTCCCGAGAAATAACAGTATTTGAAAAGATTTCAAATATCATTTAATTATACTTCTAATCACTAATCCGAGCTTGCAACTTAAGTCGAAAACAATTTATTTCACCTTGGGTAAAAACCAACTCACGTTCTCTGCTCCAGTTCCTCTAACAACTTCTTGTTTTGCAGAGCATATCTGCTCCTCGAAATTTCAGCTGCCATAGGATCCATTACACCTCCTGGATGTCTCGGAACCCGGCTGTTATTACTGCAGTTTTTGTTAGGATTGTAGGCTGGAACAGACTTTGTTGACCAGGCGTCGTTGCTCCTCAGAGATGTTTCTAATTCTCGGCTACCAGCAGGATCCTCGTTGGAAAGTAAAAAATGACGATATTGCTGATGATGATGGTGATTATTCTGTTTATGGATGTCGGCCCTGCTAAGAAGCAAGTTCGCACTCAAGTGATTACTTTCATGTTCATTTGTACTTAGAAAGGGATTTAATACTTCAGGGTGGCTTCTGAGCGTATCATTTAGCAAAGAGTCTGCATCTTCTTGGTTTTCGTCGCTGGACAAAGTCAAGCTGAGCAGGTCTATGCTGGAGTTACTCTGCTGAGAACTAGTGCGCAGTCTCGGCTTGTTTCTGTTCCGATGCTTTGGATCCGTGAGTTGTTTCCTATTTTCGGCAAGGTTTTCAGCTTGTATCTCATTGATGATTAAATCTTCAGCATCTATCCTGTTTCCACCTTCATTAAAAAAGTCATCTGAAGATCCCTGATAAGTTTCAGCTGATGGTGCTATGTGATTGAAAAATGGGCCCGGCACGTTAGTTTGGGGCTGACGACATTTCACGCCCCTCCTGTTTTGAGTTTGCAGTTGATTATGGTGATGACTGAAATGAGATGATGATTTATCTGAAGCTATATGTTGAGCACTCATTGTTGCATTGGCAAAGAGTTGCGCATAACAAAATCTGAAGTTAATTATTCAAACAAAACGAAAAAAAAAACCCTAAAAATTTAGGCGATCAAAATACTTACCATTTATGCCAGAAAAATACCAACAGATATTTCCACGTTACGCGCTTTACGGTCGGTTAAAATACTCTCTTGAATGCTTCAAAACAGGTGAAAAAAAATAGCTTTATTCGAACTGATCATCAAGTGTGACAAATCAATTCATTATGGAACAATAGTTACAAGCAGGAAAATTCCGATACAAATCAAGAAAAATAGCAGTCGATCTATTTACAAAGAGAAGCTTATCCGAGGGACTAACTAACGTCTCAAGTCAATGATGATTCGTGATTTTAGCACATGTAATTGGTATATAGCAACCAAAAACAAACAAAGCACGTTATTTCACGTTAACAGTTGCTCTAAGTTTCTTTAAAAAAGCAGGCTTGCTTAAAAGAAATTAATATCAAGAACTATTTTTGAATTCTAAAAATCAATTAGTAGTTAGGGCGTTCAAATGCCGTTCAAATTATAAAACTGGCGCAAAAGTTGATTTTTTTTCGAAAAAAAAGACAGGCCAGATTAATTAGCTCACAAAGAAAAAACAATAGATTAAAATTGGCTCATTTTCAATCAAGGTCACAGATGCAGCTCAGCTATCCCTTCCAACTGATGTGCGAATGGCTTCAACAGAGGCGTCACTTCAGAGTCGATGAACCTTCGGACCTGGACGGGACAGCGTCCGATGTGGAGTTTGGGATCCAACTTAGAGTCCAGACTTGCATGTATTGGTGCGAAGTAGGAGTCGCCTTTGATTCTGGCGATGAGGTCGTTCTCCAGTCCTCTCTGCTTGACCATGGCACCAGCTTCAATCGAGTGCTGTCTCAGTTTCTCATGTGCCTCCTGTCTGTTCGCTCCTCCAATTTTGACCATGTCCATAAGGATCTGTTCTGTCAGCATAAATGGCAACTCCTGAAAAATCACTCACGTCAGAAAACATGAAAAAAAAACATAATCAAGGGTTAATGTTTTTCACTCGAGAAACTCGCACAATAGGAGGCAAATTTTTTTTACACATGCTGGTAAAAAATGTCGAAATTTTTAGTGGTTCAACGAGCATGTTATTGTAGACATACTTCTCTTAGTCTGTCTGTTCAGCCAAAAACAGCATTCACTTATATTTTTATTTCAAATCTTTATCTGTGTAACGTTTGCAGAAGTTCGATTATGCTCTGAGAAATCCAATGAATTTACCAATTGATTTATCAATGAGTAAAAAACGGATAAACATTAGCTTTGACATAATGAATTTTCAGTAATCATTCGATAAATAAAAAAAAACAACTAACAGTATGAAAAGAGTAATGAACGCAAGGAAACTTTTTAATTTCGAAGAAAAAAATAGATGGCCTTAAAGCTCTTTGATTTGTTAGAAAAATTTATGATGGACACTGGAATTTGAGAAAACTGGATCAATACGTAAAATTTTTTATTTCGCTGGGAAATCTGATAATTAATTTCCATTTTGGAAATCAAAACTCGATCACGTTTTTTGTGACCTTTACACTTTTGCTGTTCGATAGTGGAGTTTGCCTTCCTTTTAACAATAGAAATAAATGAACTTAAAAAGAAATCACAAGTCAAACCGCGAAAAATCAAAATTAAGCGTGAACAATTTTCAAGACTTTTTCCTGAAAAAAAAAATCAGCAAGACCTATACAAGAGTACTCGCTATGTTCATTACTCGTAATTACCAACAAAAAAGCGACTTTCAGAGCCTAACCTGCTGCACATGTTTAGCTATCATGCTCGGCAACACAACCAGTCCCTCTGATATATTTTGAACAGTGGCAGCTAATACATCTGCAGTAAGGAATGCTTCAGCGAGGGTGATTCTTCTATTAGCTGAGTCATCTAGGGTCCTCTCCATCCACTGAACTGAGTGGGTGTGAAGAGTGTTAGTCACTAAGGTCATCAGGTGTCTAGCGAGGGAACAGACACGCTCGCTCCTCATCGGGTTTCTCTTGTATGGCATGGCAGAGGAGCCGATCTGGTCGGACTCAAAGGGTTCCTCAATCTCCTTCATACTGGCCAGTAACCTAACATACACCATCGTCAAACACCATCGAATTCAAATAATGGAAATTATTTTACACAAACGAATCAGAGAGCTTTAAACCAATCGCGATATTGAACAAAAAGAGAGGGCAAAAAAAGAAACGAAAACCCGTCGAAAAAAAAATAAGTGTCGAAAAAATAAGATGTACCACAATTTTCTTATGTTTGTGGCATTGGTCATAAACAAAACTCCTTTTGAGAGAAACATGTCAAATAGCACAAACTAACCGATAGTTTACCCGAAAAAAAATCTAATTTCCGATTTGATAATTCAGCGAAACAAAGGTTCAAAAAGTCGACAATATTTGAGCGGACACCCATTGGGTGAGAAAAGTCTGTTGATTAAAAAAGGAACTAAAAAAAAATTCAAATCCCCTCCCGCAAAACACGCTCAAACGACGAATTATGAAGGCACCATAACTTTACAACCAACATAAAACAATTTTCGAGTAAAACGGGAACTTAAAATGCAGATAAGCTCAAAATATGTCTGATGATTGACAAAAGCAGAGATTGAAAGATCAACTAAAATGGAAAATCCTGAGAAAAAATTTAGATACAGGAAAAAAAATCCAGTACCCGATTTCCATACTCTCGCTCACCTTAAATTACTTTAAATCACCTTTCAACATTAAATTACACATAAATATTCCAAACTAAAAAATTGCTGGATATATTGTATATTTTACCCAAAATATCACAATTGCAACCAATTTTGCAGTCATTTACTATCCATTTTGTTGACAAATGAGCAATCATACTATCAGACGCGTGAAAAGCTATCATAAGAAGAAAACCAAGCAACAAATCTCGGTTTTTGTTTTTGCATTTTTCCGTTTTAATAAAAACATGTGAACAAAAAATATAAAACTAACCGAATATCTGTGCACATTTTGTGGGCCGTTGAGCCGAAAGACGCAAGGGTATTCACCACATCCACGTCCACCTTGCGGCTGTACGTCTGGCCAGTAATAATATACGAGTCAGAGAAGCCCGCTTTTTCCGTCACCAGCTTATCCAACAAGTCCACCTTTTCTGGGTTTTCTTCAAAAAGCGAGACGAAACTAGCCTGGGTTCCCGTTGTTCCTTTTACTCCTCGGAACCTGATTTCGTTTCTTACTTTGAACATATTTTTTAGATCCTGAACTAAATCTGAGATCCATAGACAAGTTCTTTTTCCAACTGTAGTTAGCTGAGCCGGCTGTAAATGTGTGAACCCCAAGCAAGGCACGTCTGCGTTTTTCTGAGCAAAGACACTCAGTCTCTGAATACACCTCGCGATCTTTGGCATCAAAATATCGAAGGCATCTCGGAGCGAAATCAAGTCGGCGTTGTCACCGACATAACACGAAGTTGCACCCCAATGGATTATAGGCGCTGCTTTAGGACAAACTTTTCCAAATGTGTTCACATGTGCCATTACGTCATGTCTCACTCGTTTTTCCTCGGCAGCCGCAAACTCGAAATCAATTTTATCAATGTTATCATGCATTTCTTTTAGCTGTTCTGTTGTGATTTTGAGTCCCAACGTCTGTTGTGCTTCTGCTAAATATAGCCACAATTTCCTCCATGTTGTGAACTTTTTATGGTCGCTGAAGTTATACGACATTTCAGGCGATGAGTACCTTCCGACCAAGGGTGTCTGGTACACCATGTGTTCTGGTGGGTTCACCGATACAGCTGTCATCTGCTTGTTCATTGTACTGCCTGAGCGCGACATGCTGGTTGGGTTACCATTAGGAGCGTTGGTTGGAGTGAAGCCACGCGACTTGTCGGACCTCGCAGTCGCCATTCAAAATTCAACTTAAAATAAACCGTAGCATAACCTTTTTCCGCAGAAATGAATGGTTCAAATCTAAATGAGAAATCCTTTTATATCTTTTCCAAAAAAATTCAACTTTTTATACACAATATTAGGGCGGATGACACTTACCCGGTTTTAAATTTTTTGACAAAAATTTTAACCAGTTGTTCTATAGCGCACCTCTGACTTTAAACATAATAATCTAAACAGATCCCTAATGCACTTCGAAAAAATACGATAAAACATAACCAACAGAGAAGTAGAAAAGAGTCAATGAACGCTTTTAAACACAAAAAAATACCAACTTGTTTTTCAAAAAGTCTCAATTTTCGAATTTCAAAAATTAGAAGCATTCAAAGCTCTTTCAATTTCCAGAAAAATTTATGATTCGCAAATTTTCGACAAAACTGACCCAATTTGAGAAAACTAGATCAATAGGTAAATTTTTTATTTAGCTGGGAAATCTGTAAATTGAATTCCATTTTCGAAACTAGAAGTCGATCACGTTTTTCGTGACCTTTACACTTTAGCTGTTCGATAGTGGAGTTTGCCTTCCTTTTAACAAAGGAAATGAACTGCATTTAAAAATAAATCAAGAGTCAGACCGCGAAAAATCTATCAGAGTCAGAAACACTTCAATAAAAAAGCACTGAAAAAAAACACAACCTTTAATAGCACTTGTCGAATCTGCTTTAATTACGCACTACACGAATCTTCATCAAATTATTTTCTTGAGGCAAAAAAAAAGTTTAATTTCACAAACGTTACTAGCTTGCTTTAGTCTCTCGAAACTACACTGAAAAAAAATAAACTGTTTTTTTCAGACTGAACTTCTAATATGTTCAAATTACGACTGAGAGTAGTTTTTAGTTGTATATCACTCGACTCATTCTGATGACTATCTGAGGCACCTGATTTTCACGCGGGAAAACTAAAAAAACTACAAGGATATTCGGTTGCACAGAAAGTTCAGACCGCACTTTTAAAAAGCTCAGAAACAGTTTTTACTGAACTTTTACTGAGCTGATAAAAAAAACAGTTTCTTTAACTGAACTGGGTCAGTCATTGTCCGTCCGTGGAGAGATGAAAGTATCTGAACGAAATCCTGGACTTTGCATGTTTTTATAATTATAGCAGATTCGACAAACAAAATATAATTTTTATTCCCAAGAAAGCGCTACAAAAAAGAAAAACAAACTAGAGGCCCAGCTAAAGCTGGAAATACCTGTTTGATAATTTTTGATTTTGTTGTACTGATGCGGAATGAAATAGGTAATTTAAAAATGGGGTTTCTCCTAAAACTTTAGTTGTTGCTCTATTAAAATATGAGTGAACATTTTGTGATTTTCCGAGAGAGACAAAATTTTTTGAACAGTTTTTAAGAAGTAGCATTTTATGCACCGAGGCTTCGCACAACTTGTTGCCTCGATGAAACCCTTGATACCAGATTGAGTTGTTTTCGAGAAAGTCAAAAATTTTCAAAAACGGTCAAAAATTCTATAAATAGACTTTTCCGAGGGTAATAACTTTGTGTAAAAAAACTTCGGGCATAATTTTTTATGCAGGGGAGTTTTGCATAAATCGTTTTACCCGTTAAACCCAAAACCTCAGATTTGGGAGGGCAGTTTTTGAGAAAAATCAGTAAGTTTCAAAAATAGTCAAAAAATCGAAAAATTGACTTTTCTGAGGACCATATTTTTTTGTGCAAAAAAATTGGGCGTAACCATTTATGCAGGGGAGCTTCCCATAACCCTTTCTACAATTTTTATATTTGTGAGGGCAGTTTTTGAGAAAGTTGAAAAGTTTCAAAAAACGGTCAAAAAATCGAAAACTCGACTTTTCTGAGGGCCATAACTTTTTGTGAAAAGTTTTGGGCGTAACCGCTTATGCAGAAGATCTTCCCAGCAATCTTTTCTATATGTTGAACCCAAAAGTGCAGTGCGACTGAAAAACAATCCGTTTCCAGGTTCCAAGTTTCATGAATCAATTAAATTTAACGCAGCTTTTAATGAGAATCGAACAGACCTTTTCTCGCAGCTAGTTCTGATATAAGGCAAAAAGTTATGTACAATTGCTTCAATTAGATGGCAGTGAAAAAATTTTCAAGCCTGATAATTAAATTGTATTTGTTTTTAGTTGGCTTTTTAAAATGCACCAAAATGTACCTAATTCCAATGTACCAAAATGTAGCTTCCTAATTCCCGAGAAATAAGTATTTGAAAAGATTTCAAATATCATTTAATTATACTTCTAACCACTAATCCGAGCTTGCAACTTCAGTCGAAAACAATTTATTTTACCTTGGGTAAAATCAAACTCACGTTCTAACGATCAATAGGTAAATTTTTTATTTAGCTGGGAAATCTGTAAATTGAATTCCATTTTCGAAACTAGAAGTCGATCACGTTTTTCGTGACCTTTACACTTTAGCTGTTCGATAGTGGAGTTTGCCTTCCTTTTAACAAAGGAAATGAACTGCATTTAAAAATAAATCAAGAGTCAGACCGCGAAAAATCTATAAGAGTCAGAAACACTTCAATAAAAAAGCACTGAAAAAAACACAACCTTTAATAGCACTTGTCGAATCTGCTTTAATTTCTATTATCTATTTTGAATTTTTAAATTTCTAAGTGCCATAGAAGCACTACACGAATCTTCATCAAATTATTTTCTTGAGGCAAAAAAAAAGTTTAATTTCACAAACGTTACTAGCTTGCTTTAGTCTCTCGAAACTACACTGAAAAAAAATAAACTGTTTTTTTTCAGACTGAACTTCTAATATGTTCAAATTACGACTGAGAGTAGTTTTTAGTTGTATATCACTCGACTCATTCTGATGACTATCTGAGGCACCTGATTTTCACGCGGGAAAACTAAAAAAACTACAAGGATATTCGGTTGCACAGAAAGTTCAGACCGCACTTTTAAAAAGCTCAGAAACAGTTTTTACTGAACTTTTACTGAGCTGATAAAAAAAACAGTTTCTTTAACTGAACTGGGTCAGTCATTGTCCGTCCGTGGAGAGATGAAAGTATCTGAACGAAATCCTGGACTTTGCATGTTTTTATAATTATAGCAGATTCGACAAATAAAATATAATTTTTATTCTCAAGAAAGCGCTAAAAAAATGAAAAACAAACTAGAGGCCCAGCTAAAGCTGGAAATACCTGTTTGATAATTTTTGATTTTGTTGTACTGATGCGGAATGAAATAGGTAATTTAAAAATTGGGTTTCTCCCAAAACTTAAGTTGTTGCTCTATTAAGATATGAGTGAACATTTTGTGATTTTCCGAGACATTAAATTTTTTGAACAGTTTTTAAGAAGTAGCATTTTATGCACCGAGGCTTCGCACAACTTGTTGCCTCGATGAAACCCTTGATACCAGATTGAGTTGTTTTCGAGAAAGTCAAAAATTTTCAAAAACGGTCAAATATTCTAAAAATAGACTTCTCCGAGGGTAATAACTTTGTGTAAAAAAATTTTGGGCATAATTTTTTAGGCAGGGGAGTTCTGCATAAATCGTTTTACCCATTAAAACCAAAAACTCAGATTTGGGAGAGCAGTTTTTGAGAAAAGTCAATAAGTTTCAAAAATAGTCAAAAAATCGAAAATTTGGCTTTTCTGAGGGCCATAACTTTTTGTGCAAAAAAATTGGGCGTAACCATTTATGCAGGGGTGCTTCCCACAACCCGTTCTACAAATTTTATATTTGTGAGGGCAGTTTTTGAGAAAAGTCAATAAGTTTCAAAAAATAGTCAAAAAATCGAAAATTTGACTTTTCTGAGGACCATAACTTTTTGTGCAAAAAAATTGGGCTTAACCATTTATGCAGGGGAGCTTCCCACAACCCTTTCTACAAATTTTATATTTGTGAGGGCAGTTTTTGAGAAAGCTGAAAAGTTTCAAAAACAACGGTCAAAAAATCGAAAACTCGACTTTTCTGTGGGCAATAACTTTTTGTGGAAACTTTTGGGCGTAGCCGCTTATGCAGGGGAGCTTCCCAGCAATCTTTTCTATCCGTTGAACCCAAAAGTGCAGTGCGACTGAAAAACAATCCGTTTCCAGGTTCCAAGTTTCATGAATCAATTAAATTTAACGCAGCTTTTAATGAGAATCGAACAGACCTTTTCTCGCAGCTAGTTCTGATATAAGGCAAAAAAGCAAAAAATTTATGTACAATTGCTTCAATTAGATGGCAGTGAAAAAATTTTCAAGCCTGATAACTAACTTGTTATTTGTTTTTAGTAGGCTTTTTAAAATGCACCAAAATGTACCTAATTCCAATGTACCAAAATGTAGCTTCCTAATTCCCGAGAAAAAACAGTATTTGAAAAGATTTCAAATGTCATTTAATTATACTTCTAATCACTAATCCGAGCTTGCAACTTAAGTCGAAAACAATTTATTTCACCTTGGGTAAAAACAAACTCACGTTCTCACGATCAATAGATAAATTTTTTATTTAGCTGGGAAATCTGTAAATTGAATTCCATTTTCGAAACTAGAAGTCGATCACGTTTTTCGTGACCATTACACTTTAGCTGTTCGATAGTGGAGTTTGCCTTCTTTTTAACAAAGGAAATGAACTGCATTTAAAAATAAATCAAGAGTCCGACCGCGAAAAATCTATAAGAGTCAGAAACACTTCAATAAAAAAGCACTGAAAAAACACAACCTTCAATAGCACTTGTCGAATCTGCTTTAATTAATATTATCTATTTTAAATTTTTAAATTTTCAAGTGCCATAGAAGCACTACACGAATCTTTATCAAATTATTTTCTTGAGGCAAAAAAAAGTTTAATTTCACAAACGTTACTAGCTTGCTTTAATCTCTCGAAACTACACTGAAAAAAAAACTGTTTTTTTTTCAGACTGAACTTCTAATGTTGTTCAAATTACGACTGAGAATAGTTTTTAGTTGTATATCATTCGACTCATTCTGATGACTATCTGAGGCACCTGATTTTGCGGGAAAACTAAAAAAACTACAAGGATAACCGGTTGCACAGAAAGTTAAGACCGCACTTTTAAAAAGCTCAGAAACAGTTTTTACTGAACTTTTACTGAGCTGATAAAAAAACAGTTTCTTTAACTGAACTGGGTCAGTCATTGTCCGTCCGTGGAGAGATGAAAGTATCTGAACGAAATCCTGGACTTTGCATGTTTGCATAATTATAGCAGATTCGACAAATAAAATATAATTTTTATTCCCAAGAAAGCGCTACAAAAAAGAAAAACAAACTAGAGGCCCAGCTAAAGCTGGAAATACCTGTTTGATAATTTTAGATTTTAATGTACTGATGCGGAATGAAATAGGTAATTTAATAATTGGGTTTCTCCCAAAACTTTAGTTGTTGCTCTATTAAAATATGAGTGAACATTTTGTGATTTTCCGAGAGAAATAAAATTTTTTGAACAGTTTTTAAGAAGTAGCATTTTATGCACCGAGGCTTCGCACAACTTGTTGCCTCGATTAAACCCTTGATACCAGATTGAGTTGTTTTCGAGAAAACCAAAAATTTTCAAAAACGGTCAAAAATTCTAAAAATAGACTTTTCCGAGGGTAATAACTTAGTGTAAAAAAATTTTGGGCATAATTTTTTATGCAGGGGAGTTTTGCATAAATCGTTTTACCCATTGAAACCAAAACCTCAGATTTGGGAGGGCAGTTTTTGAGAAAAGTCAAGTTTCAAAAAAAAGTCAAAAAATCGAAAATTTGACTTTTCTGAGGGTTAAAACTTATTGTGCAAAAAAATAGGGCGTAACCATTTATGCAGGGGAGCTTCCCACAACCCGTTCTAAAAATTTTATATTTGTGAGGGCAGTTTTTGAGAAAGTTGAAAAGTTTCAAAAAACGGTCAAAAAATCGAAAACTCGACTTTTCTGAGGGCCATAACTTTTTGTGAAAACTTTTGCGCGTAGCCGCTTATGCAGAAGAGCTTACCAGCAATCTTTTCTATCCGTTGAACCCAAAATCTCAAATTTGGATTGAACAATTTTTAGAAAAATCCAAAAATTTGGGTCAAAAATTCCCCCCTTCTCACTTTTTCCAAAAATTTGGGTCAAAAATTCCCCCCTCTCACTTTTTCTGTAGGAAGTGGGGTAAGGTTAAAACAGTCTAGGAAAATATTCAAACACATAGGGTAGTGGGCGGAATTCCCATTGGTGCCACTTTTTTGAAAATCGATAGTAGTTTTTGAGGAAAACGAGAATTTTCCAAAGCGTCTCAAAAAATTTTTTTAAAAAAACCCCGATCCCAATGACATTTTCATAATACCTGTTTTTTTAATCAAACAGGATTTTCACGGTGTGTTCTTTTAATTTTAAATGTCGTTCGGATCAGAATTGAGAGGTCTTCAATATAATCTATCACTCGAAGGTTAATTATTTGTGGTACCTGATTTTGCGTTTGAAAATTAAAAAGAAATTAAACACACCAAAAGACGAAACAAGAACAAACTTTTATAAAATGTTTCCTTACAAATGAATAATCTTTGCAAACTACAGTGCTGATTTAATTTATCCGGACAAAACGCATAAAACTTGAACTTTAAAACGCGTTTTTCTCAAATTGTGTTGCTTTTAGGTGAGAAAAGATCAAATCAAAATTTGCTTAGATTTTTAGCCGGTTAATTTGGTTGATTTACTTTGCAAAATTCGGGCACAAAAATTTACATTGAGGCGAAGCTGAGCTTCGCACCACTCGCGATACAACACAAGAGAAAAATCGAAAAAAAAATCACAAATGTCAAAAAACTAGATCTATAATAATTAAACAGTCTAGCTTTGAAACAAAAAACAACATGCCCAGACAATGAATGTGAAATTAGCAGCGTAAGATAATTTACCAAGCGGTAACAAATACCTTGGCAGAAAACTTTTTAGCCGAAAAAAAATTAAGATTTGAGATTTATGATGTCCCCCTCGAACTCAAAACAATCAAAAAACATTAGTTGCTCGTGGAATGAAACAATATAAGACAGTTAAGCCAACATAATATAGCCCGAAACCTATTAAGCCCAAAAAAATCATTAGAAAAATTGAAAAAAAAAGTTATAATAAGTTATAAAGCCCCCTCGCCCTCAAAGCACAGAAACGCACACAAACATTTTTTCGCTTGTCGAAGGACACAATAGAATGCCGATGAGCCCGAAACCTATAATGCCGAAACCTATCATGCCCAAAAAAAGGCAATAAAAGTTTTGAATTATAAATTCAATTAAAAGTTTAGCATTTTATGAATTCCAGAAATGAGCAAAAAAAAATAATTCCATTGAGCAACTCGAAATTAGGTCACTAAGCCGATAAAATATAGGCCGAAATCATTTGGGCAGAAGTTTTTAATCGAAAAAAAAAGAAATACTGACGATGTCAAGGTTAAAACTAAATTAAAAACAAACAGCAGAGATAGATCAGAACACTTAAAGCAACTATAAAGTAAAAAAAAACTTAATTCAAAATAAATGGTTTAGTTGGATGGTAAAAACACAGCGAAAAATTAGCCGATAAGAAGTAAACCGAAAGCGACGAAGTCGAGAATTCAAAAAAAAAACCAAAGAAATATCGTTAAAAAAATTTGAACTGCGAATTTATAGGTAAAACATTAAAAAGAATGCCCAGTGAAAACGATAGACCAATGAGCGCAAGTATACGCGCATACTTCATGCGCGTCGTCAACTGCATACATGCTGAATTCTTTGGACAGTTGTTTACGGCAAAAAAAAAAGTATAGTACCCGATTGCAAAACCCTTGCTATCTCAGGGATAACCACAAAAGGGATCATTTCTGGTCAATCAAAACTTCAAAGGCTCATTTTCTTAGAACTTTGTTCCGCCGCGACAAAAAGCAGCTCTAGAAAGTGGATTAAGAAAAAATAGAAATAAGCTTCGAATTAGTAAAAAGTCGGCTAGGTCTAGGATTCGATCAGCGACCTACTGCAATCTAGAGATTTTGAGTCTCACGCACTAACCACTCAGCCACGCACACTTAAACAGTCACAAAAACTAGTCACGAATAAAGAGCTACATATGCTAATAAATTGCCAATGCAATTCAGCACCAGTGGCACCAAAAACAAATAGATATAGTTTTGCAAGTAATAATTTGGAATGTGACAAACTGAAGGCATCCACACAAACATTGCATGTAACAAATCGCACGGCATAAAGCCACATTATGTATAAATTATGCATTTCAAAAACTGGCGAGATATAGTGATAAAGAAAATTTCTGAAATAGAGTTTTTATGATTGTTATGTTGTTTGAAACAAATAGCTTTTTTCGCTTCATTTGAGGCGTTAAAAATGCATCAACTGTGTTAACTTATTACCATTCGAATGTCAAGTACATGCTATAACGAAGCTGTAAAGGTGCCCCAAAAGTGGCACCAGTATTTGCGACTTAGGTTAGAAAAAAGAAGGTTCGCAATAATACACTAAGCTGAGGCTAGTGTAAAGAAGGGAGCAATTTTCCCTTTATCTTTTTTGTCGTAAATTCAACTATAACGCGTTTTAAATTTGAAGTTTTATACGTTTTCTCGGGATAATTTGAATCAGCACTGTATTCGCTCTTCACTATTTGTTTTTGATTAGCCTAAAACACCTATTTTTCTCGACACTGAAACTATTTTTTTATTTATCAAAATCCAAACCAAGAGCAAAAAGGGGTTAGTGTGATACCATACTTAACAGTCCCCCTTACGATCCTTCAGCAAAAAAATCACCCCAATCTATAGTTCAATAATCACCCTTCCAATTGCTTCGTGACGTGGTCGGAACAACTAAATAAAACATTTCAGCTTTTAGAGTAAATCACAAATTTCACATGAAGCTTGATTTTAGTGGCTGACCATTAAAAGCTTATAAATAATTTGCTGTTAACACAAGCTACTATGGTGTACACTATCACAGGTCATAATTAAATTGCTTTCATTCACGATCAAAGTTAACAGAAATATGCTTGTAATTACACAACCACCAAATTCAAAAACTAAATTCTATTTTCATTATCACAACCAAGCAGAAAATCTATTATTGTGCCTCGCATATTAGCCCATAAATTACTTATCAAACAAGTTGCCGTTTAAATGAAAACTGGAACCTTCAGAATTTTTAGGATTCAGATTCTTACGAATCTTCGATTTTACTTGTTCTACGCAGCAAAGAAATTCTCTGAAAAAAAAAACTGATCATTTTGTACTTAAACCAGCAATAGCCTCATTGCAAAATTTGCTCATTTGATTCAAAAAATTCTCGTCAGTTTTTACGATTTCGAACATCAATAAAAACAGTCGGATTAAAACAAAACAGTCGGATTTCAATCGGATTAAAACAAAACTTGATTCTGATCCACCAAATTGCTCTCAAATGGCACCTGTAAACAGTCTTGTAGCCTTACGGTGACCATTCGAATCGGCGCTACCAAAACTTTACATCTATAATAAATAATTTCTGTAATGTGCTTGATTCGTGAACGAATTTATTAATATTTATATTATTTATTCTGACTGTCGTGGGGCATTTCTATCAAAATTAGAATTAGTCTAGAGAGAGTGATGCGTGCAATGAATTATTAAATGGGGAAAAAAGGTAGCGGAAAAAGGACAGGTGCAAAACGAGACCACGCGTGGAGATAAACTCACTGCACTTACCACGCCAATCTTTACCACGCACACAATCAAGTCAGTAAACTAAAGGAAAAAAAATCCGCAAAATTATCTGTACCATTAATCAGAACATTAAAATGGCACACATTATACTATACGTATTGCTTACACAATTTATGCACCTTTATTTCCAGAAACCTGGAGCCATTATGACATTCTGAACAACCTTTATGTGCATTTAAGAAAGCTCTTTTCTGCCACAGCTTCGATATGAAATGGACACCATAGCAAAAAAAAACATAAAACTGAACTAGATTAAATACCATCCTTCTTTTCAATCGGTGTCACAATTAATGAAAGCGCCGTAATTTGGTTGTGTTTCGCATCACCAAACAACACCAGCCACATGCCATGCCCCATTGTCCCAATCTACATGTCAAAACAAACGAAACACATCCTCAAAAGTCTTCAAGCTAATGATTTAACTACTGAAGCCAAACTGATTGAATCAAAATCGTACGAACAAAATTATTCTTCAAAACAACGTTGCTCCAGTTATACAGTTATACAACCTGTAAGCGCTCCTGGAAAATTATTTAGCTAGTGAACCGATCATGATTACTCAAATAAAACAGAATCCGAGATGAAAATAAGGCTTCGAAAGCGGAAAAAATTCCGACCAACTCTCATTCCGATTTCAGAAGACGGGGACTCGAATTCAAACTGTACCTCTGCTGTTTCTTCTGCGCTCTCAAACTACAACGAATCAGTTTTACATTCAGGTCGAGAAAGTCCCACAAGTGAACTTATAAACTGCACTGAGTATTATAACCGTGAGTTTTATCCATGCTCAGACACAGATTTGGAATCAAAAGCAAAAATTCAGACTTCTTTGGCAACAAATCCTTCCGAGCACCTATCCAAAACATCACACCTTGTAAAAGTTGAAACCAAAGAAAGCGCTGCAACAGTTCAACATAAAATATCCCAACATGAAAGCCAAACGGCCAAAAAACTCCCTGAAAAATATGGCGCTCAGCTGGCCAATTTTCAGTCATCTAGTCCGCACTATAGTAATAAGAACGGCTCAAGTCCTTCAAGCCAACTTCGAAGACGGAAATCTAAGATTCCAGTCCTTTCACGTAGGAAGTCTTTCGAGAACAACAATGCAGCTCAAACACAGGGTGCAATTGGTCTGGAAACGGCTCCTGCACAGGTATTAACAACTTATTTCATGGATAACAACATATGGTAAATAAATCCCAAAGACTATAAATCTCAATAATAAATAAACGGTGATCATTCTGTCAAAATCGAATTCATTAAAACTTTGTCCTGTTCCAGTCGGCAATGAAATATCCAATAACTAACAAGCTCGCTGGTTTAAAAAGAAGCAAAACAACGAGCCAGCTATTTTTCATTCGCTTCCCAAAAATTTATATTTCATATTTGTAGGCCAACATGTCACTGCCTGACCTTAGCGCAATGCGAACAGCTTTGAGGATGCCTCCCAACCTACAAAGGATAGAGGCTATGGTCGAGGCTGATGACTCGCTACGAATGACTAATCATCAGGCTAAGACGCCCACGAAACTTCCAGGGATCAAAGAGAATAACAACTTTTCATTCAGCAAACAGGCGACGGAAAACCTCCACTTGGTAACAAAAAATATTTCAACTCAAAGAAGAAATTTAAATATATATACTTTCAAAAGTTTTGAAATGAGAACAGCTTATCAAATTCAGGACGTAAAGTATTGCTGGATTTTGACATTTTAAAGGATAACAAAAAGAAAAATTTCGGACTTAAGAAACAGGACGAGTTTTTGCTTATTGAGCATTAAAAAACTTTCGCCGGTCGTTGACACTTGAAACTATTTCAGGGTCCCATTCTGGAATCAATTGAGGACCAGGACAAGCTGACTCTTCCAGAACTCCGTTGCGAGATCCTACGCAAACTACACAGACGAATGTCATCCCGAAAGAGCCCCGACCCAGAGGTAACTAACACACCTAGATTGAGGAAACCTATGCGAACAGCTCACAGTTATATCTAATTTCTTTAAATCTGAATACTTAACCCTTTTTACTCCGCTTTAATCCGGTACTCTGAACACAAATTAGTCATCAAGCTAAACGTGCGAAAACTGAAGCTTCCAATTTCAATACGGTAGTCATAATTGCCTCCAGCTTATCGGTCGAATTAATTTCGTACAGATTTTCCCACTTGATGCCTGATAATGTCTGAAAAATAAGGTTTCATATTATTTTCTTTTCTTTACTAACAGCTATTCGAAAGCAATTAAGGAGGGGGGGGGGGGCAATCAGGGCTTTGCGGTCTTGTTTTCTAGCTTTGACAAAAAATGTTCTATCTACTCTTACCATTACTCATAGGAAATCGAAACTCACATTAGTCTAAAGTGGGGAAAGCTGTACCGAGGACATTCTACACATTCTTAACCAACAAAACTGAAAAACCTTTGGCCACCAAAAAAAAACAAAAAAACATCCCACAATGGCCAAAAACGATTACCTGCGTAGGAAAGAAATGCTGCTATTGAAGTTCAACATTCATCTCAATTTCAATGCTATTAGCAAAAAACGAAGAAAAAAAATACATGTACCGGTTATAAGAAAAATGGTTGGAGTAAGATTGAAATTGAATCAAATTGAAATTGAATCATATTATTCAAAAAAAAATTCACGTCCAAATCAAGTTCAATTCTAAACATCTAATGAAACTGAAAACACGCACAATCTTCTTTCTTTTCTATATGTATAGATTTCAACTTTTTAATTAGCCAATAACCTCCTCGCAGAATCGCAAAACAAACAATATTGAACCACAAAAAGACAGAAAACAAAATATGTATTTAGTTTAAATTAAAAAAATTTCGCTTTAGATGAGCAGGGAAAGAGATCAAAATAGACGAAAACCAGCAGTCGCTTCCGGGAATAAGCTACCCTGGATGAGTCATTCCAGTCCGAACATCTCTTCAGAAGACCCAAAAAGTATGTTCAGTCCCCGAAAAACAGATATGACAACGGAAGACGATTTAGTCCAAATCAAAAAAGACGACCATGATCTCGCAACTCAGAAATTCATAGAACTCAAAAGATTGAGGGATTCACATGCAAAGCATCAACAAAACACAAAGTTCGAATGCGATTCACCGAGCTATAAATTATTGGAGTATTAGAGGATTAAATTTTTTAATTCATGACGAAAACTTTTTGTACAATATTAATTTAATTACGACACAAATCAAAGTATTCATTTTTTTTGAAATAAAAACATAAACAACAGACAGTTAGAAAAGAGTGAATGAACGCAAGTAAACAAAAAAAAACAGACTTACTTTTTGAAAAATCTCAAGTTTCGAACTTCCAAGAAAAAAAAACGGTAGACTTGAAGCTCTATGAATTTCTAAAACAATTCAGGATTGAGAATTTTGTGATAAAATAAACCCAATTTGAGAAAACTGAATTAATAGGTAAAATTTTCATTTCGCTGTCAAATCTGATAACTAAATTTCGTTTTCGAATTTAGAAGTTAATCACGTTTTTCGTTACCTTTCCAACCTCGCTGTTCGATAGTGGAGTTTACCTTCCTTGAAACAAAGGAAATGAACTGAATTTAAAGATAAATCAAAATCCAAACCGCAAAAAAGGGAAGTTCCTGAAAAAATTCATCACCTACATAGGAATCTGAACTTCGTTCATCGACTCTTAGCAAAGAGTTCAAGTATGAAAATTACGAGTGAGTAGGCAGCCCCTCCGGAAAAAAAATCAGAAAATTCAGTTTAGAAGAAGTGTTCGAGTACCTAAACTTCAGATCACCACATACTAACCACTTTTAGTACAAAAGTCTTAAATGGGAGCTCATATAATTGCTTGATATGAACATTAACACAGAGGCGAAGCGGAGCTTCGAATCACTTGCGATACCACAAAAAGAGCATTGCAAGCTAGCAGACAGGAAAGGTAAGAAGATTTCAAAGAAATTGGAAAGCTTTTCGAAGAAACCTCACCTAAAAAGCTTCAGAATGTTGCTTGACATGATGTTCGATTTGCCTTAAACACGTCCAGAAACGCATTTGTCGGCGTTTAAAAGAAACATTTTTAAGCGAAAACAAATTGCTGTTCGAACTATAAATTCTATTCTGCGATTTTTAACGTTTTGTCCGATCGGGAAGAAAGCATACAAATTATGGTTCCCTGGAATAACCGAAAGTTAGCTTAGTAAGCCGATAAATTATAAGCCGAATATATTTAAGCCGAAATTCTTTTCAAGCAAAAAAAATTTAAAAAGGAAATTATACGAAGTTGAAGCTAGTAGAATTACAAGCTGCAGGAGTAAATGAAAACATAAAAAGCAACTACAATAAAAACTGCATACAGCAAAAAAAATCTAAGATGTGGCAACTAAGCCGAAAAAACATGAGCAGACAAGTAAAAAGAAGACAAATTTTTGAAACGGAATAATATTTTCCGTTTGAAAAAAAAATAGGTCCTGGTCAGATTCACACCAAGGACCTTTGCTTTAAAGTTTATATCAATACTGGGAAATTTATTCAACATCGTTCGAATCACGACTGAAAGAGCTTCAGCATGATATATCACTCGACCCATTCCGACGATTATTTGTGGTACCTGATTTTGAGTGGAAAATAAAAAAAAACTATAACACACCCGAACACAAAGTTCCTCCCCAATTTCAATGGCCGGACCAAAACGTGAGAGCTCTTTTCTCTCCTCACCTAGCAAATTTTGGTCATCCCAAACTGATGTTTACCTGCGGCAAATGGATTATAATAATGAAGTGACTTTCTATATCCAAAACAAACCTGCAGCACTAACTTAACCCAGTAGTTTTTGCGACTCTTCAGAATTGAAAATAAACCTGAAACATATATTTATTTTTTTAGCGAAAACAACAATAGCGTTTATAGGAAATTACCAAACATAACACTTCAAATATGCATATGGACTACTATAATAATTTGAAATAAAAACATTGATCAATTGAATAAGCTACGAATTGAAGGAGCGGTCAAAATTTGACCTTTATGTTCGCCTTATTAACAGCCCACTTCACAAAGATTACATATTGCGCTCACACAATGGGTGAGCAAGCCTTTTTTACAGTTACGATCAAAATAATCAAGAAACTGTTCAGAGCACCCCAATCTTAAGACCAAAAATTCAAGTTCACCTGACTTTTCTATCAAACTTTATTTTATTCAGTTCAGTAAATAAACTTCAAATAAACCCCTGGAGCAGAGGTTGATGCTTTAGCAACAACGGAAGAAATAGTTCTAAGATGAAATGAAACAGCAAGCGACTCTAATAACTGAAAATGAATAGCAGATATTTCTCAACTCCGTTTCATTATTTCCCACTTTTTCGAAGCGCCTAAAGAACCATCTAGCCAGTTTTACTGTAGGAAATCTTAACCCGCAAAATTCATGAATTGAGATTCATCATATTAGTTCATTAACTATATCGCCAATTCTTCAAAATACTAATTGACGAAAGCGCTTCAAATTTACTACGGTACACAGATCTCTTTACGTACGTTCTTCGTATGTTCTACAAGAGTCTTCAGATCTTCGCGATGATACAAATGAGTTAGAATGATCCAGCAAGATCAGAGCGAATGATTTGAAACTAATGGTTGTCTGTCTATTCAACTAATGTTTTGACACCATTTCGTTTATCTATTAGGTGGTTACTGTATAAGAGAAAGGCGTTAACACGACTCGCAGAGGTTCTACTCTGAATTATCACTATCGTCATCTTCTTCGTCGTCGCTGATGTCGGTGTATCCATCGTCGTCTTCGTCATTCTCTTTACCTGGAAAAATAAGCTCAAATGGAATTTACCCATACAAAATGTTTTCCACTGCAAAATCGAACAAGAGAATGTTCTCGGAAAAATTGCTGAAACAATGCAGAAAAACGGAGGCGAAGCAGGGCATCGCACCACTTGCAAGACAATGCAGCATAGCAGGACAAGCTAGCTGAGAGAAAATGAGACGAAAGCCAAACAAAGTATAAAAAGTTTTGAAATGTCGAAAAGATAACCAACACTTAAAATAATTTTGTTTTCAAGCTAAAACTTATAAGCATACCTTAAATGAAATTGTACGTTAACATTTTTAGTTCGGCTTGGGAGAACACCAAAAAGGCATCAGCCTGTCGGGTGGCATCTCCATGAGCAAAATCTATTCGTCTACTTTTTTAAAAACTTAGATCATATAGACAAAAGGACCGCACACTTTCATACGTTCGTCGCGATTTACATAAATTCACTTTGAGGATAACATGCCAAAAACACAACTGCAAGTGCTGATGTAGCATCAACTAAAACTCTTCGGTACCTAACCCAACAATATTTAAAAATTGAGGTACAAAAATAGTTGTCAAAAACACTAAGCTAGCAAACATGATGAAGCTCAAAATTCTAAGTCCCCCAAACATACACAGGCTTAGCCGATCAATTGTCATTAAAATCCAAACCGGCTAAATTCACAGCTAAAAATAAAACAAATTTTTAATAGAAATTTTGTTTAAATTTAGACATGCTGACTAAATGGCAGAATTGACCCAATGATTCAAGCGATTTATCCTGAAAAAGTACGTTTCAAAAATCATATCACTAGGGGAATCATTAGCTTACATTTCATACCCAGGGGCGAAGCTTCATTTCTCAAACAAAAGCGACAAAACGGCAACAAGAGCAATTGCAAAAGGCCACGGGAAAGAGCTAATTGATCCATAACTAATTTTTCAAACTAAAAAAGTTAGTTTTTTTAAAGCTTTATCAAAATCTTTGCATGCACTTCTAGATAATTTTAATTAAAATCATACACTATCAAAATTTTCGCATGTCTCGATGAACATTCGTTTTAGGCAAAAATTTCAAGCAAAACGTTTGAATATTAAATTAGCCGACAATCTTTGAGCAGGCTGAACTTTATTTAGGAAATTTAAAAAAAAAACTAAGTTCCCCTTTGAACTACATTGAAAAACACTTGCAACTGCAAATGAAGTTGCTTACAGAAAAATCCATGATGTGGCAACTAAGCCGAAAAAAAACTTGAGCAGTCAAACGAAAATAATATCGTCCGGCCTGGACTTGTACTCCAGACCTTAGGACCTCTAGACCAAGTGAAAATAAACCTCGAAGTTGTTAAGGTTCATTAATAAAAAAACGTTCAACTTCTTATAGATTTTGATTTAACGGAAAACCCTAGTTTTGATTACAAGACACTTGCTCTCGCTGTTTTATTAAATAAGTTATTAAATGGCGCTCTGCTTTTAAATTCTTACAAAAAAAATGCGAAAACTTTGCTGGAAAAAAGTAGACTGAGAGCATAAAACCACGTTTGCAAGCTCGCTCCAGTTAAATAAAATTTAACTTAAAAAATTTCCGCGCAACTTGATATATAAAAAACGGCCATCAAAAACCCTGCCAACTTCGCGAGTGGCCACAAAGAAATACAATCAAAGTGTAACTAACTACCCATCATATAATTTGATTTCGCATCAGGAAAAAACCAATAAATCATAATTAACGCATGAAAGATCTGATATTGGAAAAAAAACGCTTGAAAATTCGTCAAGATAATTAACACAGCGCCGAGGCTGCGCTTCGCAAACACTAGCCACAACACAAAAAAAAAACAGCTTTATAAAGTGAATAAGAAAACATAGAAATAAGCCTCGAATTAGTAGAACTTTTCTACGCGTTGGCTTTGAACCTGCGACCTCGAGAATTAGACTCTCAAGCCCTGCCCTCTCGGCCACGAACGCTTAATAATCGGCAAACACTAGTCAAATATAAAACAGCTACATATTCCAGTAAATTGCCAATCCGATGCAATAAAAGTCGCACCAAACACAAATGACAAAATTTGCAAGTAATAATTTGGAATATAACAAACTGACGGCAACCACAATAACTTAGCATATAATTAATTGGCCACAATGATACAGCCACATTGTGCATTTCTGAATTATGCATTTCAGAAAATTGCAAAATATATTGAGTAAGAAAATTTCTGAAATCGAGTTTTATTATTGTTATGTTGTTCGAAATAAGCCGTAACGGTACCACCAAAAGTGGCACCAATATTTGCGACTTAGGCTAGAAAAATAAAAATAGTCGTACCATAACACGAATGCTCACAAAAATTTGCTATTGTAATAAAAAGGTTTAAACACATTTGCTTTGAATTCAAATATTCGCCAATTGGCCAACTTATAATCTACAATAGTGGGCAATGTGTGCATTTATTCAATACGCCATCAGAAAATTTTGCCTTAGGATATCCTACTTAATAACTTACCCCCGCTTCTCTTCATGACCATGCCGTGCCACCTTTCCAGAACCATTTTTCTTTTCGAGACTTAGAGCCAATTTAGGGTTGTACTTAGATTGAGAAATTTTTGCATTGCACTTGGAACATAGTATGAGACTTCTCTACAAAACAAATGTCATTTAAATAATAACTAGCCTTTGCCCTTCGCTCCTCCCTTTCCTTCGCCTGAATCATCGTCCTCGTCGTCATCCGTTACAGTCTCCTCCCCACTGCCACTTTTGCCTTCATCTTCCTTCTCTTCGTCGTCTGAGAAATGCCACTGCTTCGTATCCTCGATTACCTGAAATAAACACTGTTCGTATGAAGAATCCGATTCAACGACTCCATTTTGGATCGTCGGAATCAATATTACCTCAATATTACAGTATATAAAAAAAAGAAAGTCATTCTTTTACTCACATCTGAACCGCAAATATTTATTCTATGGATCGACACGTGATCAAAATGAAAAGAATTTGAGGTGGGATTCATAAAGCGAAACTTTCATTCGAGAAACGACAAGAGATTAGAAATTCTTTGTGGATTTCTTGCGACTACAGCGACCAATGAACATAAATTGTAATATAAAAACCTTGGCTGGCAACACGTGCAACTTCAGCTCTTTTTCCACATCCAGTCCAACATAACAATCACTTCGCACATGCACATTATACGTGTAGTGACCTTTCTCAGGCGCTGTGAACTTCAACTCTACTGTTTCCATATCTTTCAGACCACACACTTTCTCGACAGGTGATTTCAACATCTGGGTCTTCGCTTCACACATGTAAACCCACCAACCCTCTTGTCTGATTTCTGGATAATAAGGGCAGTGTACTTCCACGCTTGTCTTGGGCTTCGAGTCCAGGAGCTCACGCAATTTCTTAGCTGGATCTTCTTCGGGGTCCCAGAGTTCCCCGTCTGAACTGTCGTCGTTGTTGGTTGTCGTAGCTTGTTCTGACTCCTTCTCGGCCGACTCGTTCGTTCCATCGGCTACAACGACTCCGTTTTCATCTTCTTCTGCATTTTCACTCGGTTCGTCGCCTTTGCCATTCTCGGTAACTGGTTTACTATCGGCATTGTTTTGATTTTTGTTTAACTTTTTGCCGCCTCGCACTTGCTTTCTACCCATTCCCTTTTTCGGTTTATTATGTTTCTGATGATTGTTGTTATTGTTTTCTTGCGATTGTACTGCGTACCCGTTCGATTTACTGGGTGTCCCATTTTGATCTGATTTCTCATTTTGACTGAAGTAGACATTTTTAAACGACTCTCTTCTTAGCCTACATTTCACCGTCACGATTGAATGCGCTGTGATTTCCTGACGATCTTCGTCGTCAATAACTTGCGTTTCAACATCTAGATACACAACAGGCAACAGTCCCAGAACATTCATTAGGTCTTGATACTCCTGCTGTTCCATGAAATTCAAAATGCTCTCCCGTTCTTTGTTTGACAACCTCGCTAGATGCTCCAGAGACTTGACCTCCCTTTTACGTACACTCAACTGCTTCAGTTGACTTTCATGCAGGTGGGGTAACTGCAAAAGGGGCGACTTCCCCTCCCCCACAGCTTGGACCAGATACTGATGGAGTCTGATCATGCTTTCCAGAGACACTAGCTTGACCTTATTTGGTACTCTGCCTTGCAAATGCAAAAAGAGCAATTTGACAAATATGTTGACCATCTCTTGCATTAACATCGGAGTTTTGCTCACAATGTACTGTCGGTCAATTTCTAGCGTATTGGCAGGTAGAGCTACTCGCAACATGTGTGCGTTCAGCACTGTACGTGCTTTAACGGAATGTGGGTAGGAGAACACCTAAAAGCAATCAAGATTTATCCTGTGAGAATAGTTTAACATTTGGGAAAACTCAATGAATCACAATTGATAGAACATTATGACAGCTTATCTATACCAGCCTAATTTTCTAGAAGCTCAGTTAGCGTCCCATTTTACTTCATTTTCAGCACATCACGCGTCTTTGTTGGCTCTTTAGCCGCTTTTTCGATCGGCCAAATGAAAATTTATCTACAGCACCAGGAAAATTGAACCCGGTGCCTATTCGTTACCTTGGTGGCGGCGGCAGTCTTTTTGTCCTCTTGAGCAGTTGGCAGTTCCCTCTGCACCTTTTTGACGTCCTGTTCGTCGGTGGGTCTGAATATCATCTCGGGGTTGCTCTTCTTGTCGAATTCAAACGAAGTGCTCAGCACCTTCAGCACCATCTTCAGACTCATCCCAGGAGTCCTGAATAACAGTACGTAGATTTGAATAACAGTACGAATAACAGTAGATAGATTTGCACAAAACACAAAAGCTTACTGGACGAGCTATCTTATATGTTGTTACTGAGATTTGAGGCAGACAATTTGGGATACAGATATTGGGTATTTCTCTGTACCGCTGATAAAATTTCAACAATGAGATCGCAAAAAAATCAACTATCGAGTTTACAGGGAAAAACATATTTAGGCTCCTTAAATTTGCAGAAAAATTTATTATTGGCGCTTTTTGGCTCGGGTAAAAACCGAATTTGAGAAAACTTGAGAAAACCGAATTTGAGAATGAATTGATAAATTTTTTATTCCGCAGGGAATTCTATAAACTACAATCCGCTTTTGTACCTAGAAGTCATTAACATTTGTCGCACATTTTGATCGTTTTTTTTGAAGAGTGGGATTCTTTTTCAACATGAAATGAAATTAGTAGTCAAACCGCGAAAAATTTTAAGCTTTAACAATTTTTATGAAAAAAAACTTAAGAAAAAATCACACTTCGGGTTGACACTTAAACATAGAGTGTCAAGCTTTCAGTGAAAAATGAGACGAAGGCCCGAAACTCGAATAAAATATCGAACAGACAAGACTAAAATTTTCAATTTTTGTCACGAATGGAGTTCATTTTGAATGAGTGCTGGCGTGAAATGAAAATCGAAACAAGCTTAACGAGCGGTAATTAAAGTGGCAAAACAGAAGTCGACGCCCATTGAGCCGGTACAAAAAAATCAACAAAATTTCGAGCTAAAACAGAATAGTAGTCGATCGCCTTCCACTCTAAAGTAGCCTGTCAGGTAAGAAACCATTACCACCATTCAAACAATGCAATTTGAGGCAACTACGCCGATATAACAAAAACCGACAGCTTTTAAGCAAAAAAAATAATACTGAAAAATGATTATTTTAAACCAAGGAGAAAAACATAGCCAACTGACAGATGGAAAAGAGCAATGAACGCACGAAAGCAGAAAAAAACTGACTTTATGATTGGTGTTTAACAACAGGTAATAATTTTTTTTCAGCAGGGAAATCTGCAAACTAAATTTTACTTTCGAAACTAGAAGTTGATCACGGTTTTTGCGACCTTTACTCTTTTGCTGTTCGATAGTGGAGTTTGCCTTTCTTTCAACAAACTAAATAATTGAACTTAGAATACAGAGGCGAAACTGAGCTTCGCACCACTTGCAATACAATAAAAAAGCCGCTGTCGAAAAAACCGAATAATCTGAACGAAAATTCTCGCCACCAGTTTCTTCGACTGAACTCTCAATCTCAGATTTGGCAAGGTAGTTTGTAAGAAAATTCATGAAATTTCAAAAAAAAAAACGGTAAAAAAAAAACAATCTTGATTTTTCCGAAGACTGTACTATTTTCTACATAAATAAATGCGTACCAGCTTATCCAGCAAAGAATTCCGAAATCTGTAATTCTTATTGAACCATTAATATTGAATTTAGCAGTGCAAATTTTTTCGATTTAGTAACAAAGTTTCCGAACAACGATCAAAAACACAAGTAAATTTGACCTTTCCGGTGAGTAAGCTGATTTTCTACAATAAATGGAGCTTAGTCGCTTACGCCGGGAGGACTACCACAGCCTGATTTTTCGATTGAAACCTTAATTCAAGATATGAGGGGGGAAAATTTTAAGAAAAATTTCAAAAAATGACCAAACTGTCAAAAAATGACCTTTTTTGAGGCCTCAATATTTTACTATTAAAAAAAGTCAGCCGTTTACGTAGAAGAGATCTCCAGTAACTGTTCTTGCAATTTAAAGTCTTTATCTCAGATTTGTCACGGTAGTCTACGAAAAAACATCCAAGAAAATGAGTCGAACAATCCCCACGGTTCAATTTTCGAAAGCATTTGAAGGCTGAGCAAAGCTTATCGATATTCAGAAGTATGCAGACAAACAAAGTAATAGCTGGTCTTTCATTGGTGCTAAATTTTTTGAAAAACAGTGAAGAAGTTGTCGGGAAAATTCAAAACTTCAGCGTGAAAAAATTTGCAAAAGTGTCTCAAAAAAATCATGAAAACAAAAAAAAACATTAAATAATATCTGATTCCAATGAACAGAAAATTTTTGCCCTCGAAACTACGCAACAGAAAATGATTATGCAATAGAACATACACCAAAACAGTTTACCCGAGATAAAAATTTATTAAAAAAATATTAAAGATCAGACATTAACAAAAAAATTATAAAAATAATAAATTACAGACTTTTCAATTTTAGTAAAAAATTCTTAAATCAAAATAAAATCCAAGCTTTACAAAAAAAGCCGTAAACAAACAGTACCAGATGAATTAAAATCACTTTAAAAACCGGCGGAAACTAAGTCGAAAACCACGAGCCCGAAAAAATTATAATTCAACACTTTTTTCGAGAATTTTTTTTTAATTAACCCCGGAAACGGACTACACTTACTAACTACCTAAAAACAGGTTGTTTTTGAAATTTTAAGAAAATGAACATGTCTTGAATATTACCATTCCTACAAAATTTGAGCATTCTTTGAACAAAGTTTTTTTACGGGAAAAAAGTCTAGTACCCGATTGCAATACCCTTGCTTATCGCAGGGTAAACAAATCAAAAGTCAAACCGCGAAAAATCAAATTTTAACGAACAAATTTTAGACTTTTTCCCGAAAGAAAAAAATCACCACCACCTATAAAAGAATACTCGCCACGTTCATGCCTCTTAAAAACAAATTTCGCATAAAATGGTTTCTTAAACGCCTGCACGCTCAAAATACGTTACAGTCAGCTTCCAACAGATTTAAAAAGGTCACTAGGAGATGATTTCTGAGAACAAAGTTTTAAACGGGAAGAAGTCTAGTGTCTAAAAGTCTAGATTAGAATAAAATTATTTTCGCACGCGTAAGAATTTTAATTTCTTCTTCGTTTTCGGATTAATTGAATAGCTGCACAATCAAAATAAAAACTGAAATACAATAGATCAGAAGCGAATTTAATTTTCTCCAGGGGGCAGATTTTGTTAACCCTTTCTTTTGAAAAAAAAACAGGTCAAAATGCCGTTTTAGGCACTTTGTGGAGAGTTGTGACCAATAAATTGCGTTATATTCGGCGCGCGCTCCCCTTTAAAGATAGTATTTAATAATGAAGCCGAGGTCGCTTTAGAAAAGTGAGGATTGGTTGGCCGAAAATGAATGTCATAAAATAATACCAAAAGGAGTAGCCTGTGGGTGGTGTTGAGGGGTTCGAATCCCTGTGGGGGAGTGTAGCGTTCCCCCTACACCCTGCTCTACAAAAATTGATTCAAGTGTTCGATAAATTCTCGAAATTTCAGCTTTTATGTAGATTTTTCGGCCAGTTATTTGATACCTGTGAATATAGTCGTGATATAGTTGATTAGTAAGCACGTGGATCTTCTCTCCCGCCGTCTTGTTGCTCTTGGCCCACCACATACTAACTACAATCGGAAGAATCACCATGAAACATGCCACATAAATTCCCAGCACATATATGGAATTGTTCTTGTCCACAATCCACGATGGAAGTGCGATGCCAAATGTTGCTGCTTTCGGTCCGTCGGGATTTCCATACTTTTCCCAGTTTTCTTTCGCTTCTTCGTCAGTCAAAGCAGCATGCGCTTTACTTATCTGCATAAATTTAACGTCGTCCCCGCCTTCTTTGTCTGGATGATACTTTAAACTCAACTCTCGATAAGCTTTTTTGATCTCACTTTTAGTCGCGCCTCTGTCAACGTTTAAGATCAGGAATGGATCGTAATCTACGTAATCTTTCTCCACCTTAGACGCCTGCATGATTAGAAGCACCAGAATTACCCAGCCTACCAGGAATAGAAGTCTCTTGATCCAGTTGCCCAAGGTAGAGGTTGGGTTCTTGCGAGATAAAAGTTCGTTTTTGAGAGCACATTGTTTGCACTTGCATGGTACTGTGCTGGATACTTTTTTCTGACCTACAAAAATCCAAGATATTAATAACATTTTCCCTCTTTTTTTAATAACGCTTTAATCAAGTGAATTTCACATTTTAAAACAACCGTCTTAAAATGACAAATTGAAAGTTTTACGCGTCGTACTGAACAATAGACTCGCATTAACCTTCTAATAAATTTAAAGAACTGATGCTTGTTACATCCTCATTTACCGTCGATCCATTGCAATAGATGGTTTCAGTAGAAAAAGTAAGTTTTTCAAGTATTGTGAATAGTCAACACTCGTTGTTATGCTGTCATTTTCAAGGTTGGTGTTCCATACCCAGTGGAAACTTTTTTTTCATGGTAGCGTCTACTTTAGTAATGAACTGTTTTTGAAGCAGTAATCGTGACGTGTAAGTGTAATTAGACCTGACGTTCTCTCAAGTGATGACCTTACAAAATATTAAACAATGTGTGACTTCATTTTGCAAGTGATCTATTTCTCCTCGGAGCAGTTTATCAACAACTGACCTCTGGGCCAGTAGAAATAGGTGAGAGGTATGAGCAGGAGGCCCCAGAAGGCGGCGAAGAAGTAGAGCGAGATGCCGCCCTCCTCGTCATATTCGATCTGAGCCATCCCTTCTTCCCTTCAGCAGTAGCTTCTTCTCTTCTTCTCAGTTCTCGCTTTCTGGCTCTAACTACATCAGTTTATATTCGAATTAAATTCATTCCCTACCTAAAATATCAACACCAGCAATCAACCGATTCTTAAATGTTTCTGCCAACATCTTTGTCACAAATTGGTTACACGAAGTCAATTAAGATGCTCCTTCGTAACACTAGCTCATATTTTCACACCATAATCTTTTCACATCCCAACGCGATACAGCGTGAACCATCTTTATCAGGCAACACCAATATGTGTTTACCAAAGTTCAGCGACTTCTCACTTTTTAAATAACGGCAAAGGATGAAAACGGACTAAAGTTCTTCATATCAATTCACTTTGACATGTTCAATTATTTAAACAACAATTTCAGGGTCGCAGTTATTTTGATTCGGAAAAAATAATGAAAAAATGTTTTCAGGTTAACATACCAATAATGATTGTTCATAAATCGCATTAAGAACTATTAAACTTTAGCCTGAGAGATAGCCATGCCACCATCTGTTTTCACTTCTCTGGTCGCAACAATTTATTTATTTTCCAAACTTCTAAACTCCTAGTTTTATTGGTGCTGAGCGAAAGTCAAACCATAAAAAGTACGAGTTTTTTAAGTACGAGGAAATTCATAGATTAATTCTGAAGGATTCCTGGCTGAATAAATTTCTTAGCTGGTTCAATTTGTTTGAGGTTATTTTGGACATTTTCTGGGTACACTCCTCCCATTTTATTCCGTATGTGAAAACGCAACTGAGCAATTTTCTTAGTCTTATAAGCGGTGAGTTTCTTATCTTATCATTTACACCAATTTTTTTAAAAAAATTTTGAGTTTCTTCTTTCTTTTGATACTTTGCTTAGGTCCTCGTCACTTATTACGTTGCGTTAAGTAGTTAAGGAACAATTTGTCCGTAAAATTTTATTCAACCGTTTAAAAATATCATAAATCTGAAGTTCAGCAGACGTATACAATTTGCGTGTTTCCTGTTCTAATCTCACTGAGTCAAAAATACGCTTCATGAAATTTATTAATTATAATCTCCTCGGGTCATTATTCAGTTAATTGACGACAATTTTGTTTGAAGTACCATATATTCAAACTCCATATTGAAAAATAGGTTGCACAAATGCTTTATATATATAATCAGCTGTTTCTTGTCAAAAACTTTATTCATTTGATAGAACAAACCGCCAATTCACTTTTTTCCCTGAAAATGCATCCAAAAGTCCCTTCCCTTTTACTAGAGTCCATTCTTGGTTGCTTCATATTTCATACCATAAATTTTGATGCGACCACAAACTCAGCCGAAATTTTGAATTTTGAGGTCAAGTGATTTTTCGGATTAAGATCCTTTCAGTCATGATTCGATTGAAAGTGAAATAAAAGTCCAACAAATTTGCTGAATCGAAAAAATTGGTTCGTCAACCCCACTGTTCATGTGAATTCTTTTTTTGCTTCAAATTAGCTTATTTTTTTTTTAATGAAAGCGTTTTTAGTCCCACCTCTTACCGCACAAAAAGTAAAGAAATCAAACAAAAATTAAGTATTTTGTAAATTGACTGTAATCGAAACCTTCTGTGCTACTTTCACAGCAACCAGTTATTCCTAGATTTTCATATGATTTTACGCAACTTGTGATAACATATGTTGAGGCCAACGCACCAATTAATCACTGAAATGGTTCATGCAACAAACTTTAGATTACTTATACAGATCCTTCTACATACAGAACTTGTGCATACTTCGCTCTCTTAACCTCGATTGATGAAAACTTGGCACATAAAATAGGAAAGGGGAGATAAAAGCAAGCAGCATTTGCAGCTTCTGCAAGCAATAGAGCGCAAATATATACATGTGTTAAGACGCAGGAACTGGAGCGATAAGAAGAGTGCATTACCAATAGAACAAATTCAAATTTCAAAGGCTAAACATGTGAGTCAGGACGTATAGAGCGGAAAGCCAATTCAATGTGTTCTCCTCAATACCAACAGCAAGCCTACTTTTCAGTCATAAATTTCTTGTCAGCCTCAGCTCTAGTCCTTAGCTATAGACTAAGTCCACATTTTATCCTGTGCTACAGCCTCCACTGCTGAAATAGCTAATACCTCAATTTCAACCAACATACATTACACTCAATTTGAACCCACATACAATACTATACCATTATTTCTAAAATGGAAGCCTTCTGCAAAACTTTCGAATTCTCCAGTTTCGACACCGACAAAGGAGAACTGGAGAAAGTGTATAAATCTTGGGGTCTAAATTTCTTCGCGCGCAAGGGAATCATGGCAGCCAGCACTCCTCTTTTCCGAATCAAACAATCCAGCAAAGACGCGACACAGTACTTCATAATCAGCAGGAGCGCCAGAAGCGGTCTGACGTCGTTCCGAAACTGCGATGGACCTATGAAGCTAGACGAGGAGTGCACCATCTCGAGGCGAGACGGGAACCAATTCAAAGCGACCTTGAAACTCACAGGAGACAACATTCTAGAACAAACGATGGTGCATGAGAAAAACGAGATCCCGACAATGGTCATTACAAGGGAGTTAATAGAAGACGGCAAACTGAAGTTGACTGAAACATGCGAAGGAAATTCGGCCGCTAGAATCTACGCTCCGGCTGATCAGGTCGAGTCAAAGGAAGACGAGGAGCTCTGAGGTTAACAAACAACCTATCCAATCAACGTGGTTCTTTTACAGTGTGATTCATCAATGATTGAAGCCAAAATACGCATTTTTTTCTTTTTCACTCCCTTATATTTATGATTCAAGTAAAAAACATAGTTTGGTTGCTCTTCGACATGAACTACGAAAAATAAAAACTATTGAAACAAATGCGTGAACAAGAAAACACTTCGCAAAGTTTTTGGCACGCAACACAATTCCAGACCATAATTGTAACCAGACACTAAATATTATTTCTACTGCTCTTTTATAGCTTTTTAAAGGGCATTGCAAACTCAGAGAGAACCAAAAATTAACTCATGCGGTCAAAAATGAGCTTTGATTGCTAATTCTAGAAGTTTATCAGTGGTTGCAGTACCTATTTTGGGTCTTTTCTGTTATACGGCCCAAAATTATCGAAACACTAACTCAGCTATTAGATTAAATAAAAATCTCGCTTCACAATCTGAAGCCTGATTTATAATATATTAGTCTACTCAAAGTTTTGATAATTTTCCGCTGTATATCAGAAAGGCTCCCATATTTTCAATGTTTTGATTATTTATACAAGTTGGTTCTGAATAAAATTACTATCATTGACTCTATCTTTAAGTTGCAGAGACCATTTTGACCATAACGCGATAGTATAATCAAAACTATTCTTCGGTTACGTAATGTTTAAAGGGATACAAAAAGGGAATTCTTTCAAGAGAATAGTGAAACAAGGAATTTTAGGCCTCTCGAATGTCACTTGTAGATCAATAGCTTTTGTCATAAACCGTCAACAAATTCATTAAAATAATTGGGGAATTTATCAGAGGCAAAACTCATTTAGGCACCGAGAATCGAAGGTACAACAAAAAATTAAAAAATATTCTTAATACATCTAAATTTAATATGTACACAGAGGCATAACTGAGCTTCGCTTCACTTGCAATTCAACAAGTATAGGATGATAACAGCAAGACACTCAAGAACTAGCAAAGAGGACTTCGAAAATTGTAAGCGTATAAGAAATGACTAAAAACAGCTCTCAATTTTTCTCTGTTTAAATTTATTATCATTTTTTAAGAATCCAACAGGATTTGAACTCGAGCATTCGAAACATTAAATTTCGAGCCAAAGTCTTAATGATCTAATAAATCATCTCGGAAATTTGTAGGAAACAAAATATTAGGCAAGCCGACAGAATTAAAACTGACAGCCAACTAGCTGAAAACCAACCCAAAAATGTTCGGCAAAAACTTAATGGAAAAATTACATGTACTGTACAAATAGTATCCACGAAGCCATATAGACATTGAAATCAAGGTGGTATACACAATTCGGAAACTAAACCGAGAGCTAAATCGAAAGCCGAAAAATCATCAGCAAACAGGAATACCGATGTTTTATAACTATACATTCAACCAATCTATCAAAAAGAACTAGCGTGTAACGCACCTCCGGTGCTTCAAATTTTCAACAACTCAAAAAACTTTCTTTGAGTGTACTCTGACAGCACCCAATTATAGGGTTCGTAATTACAAATTTTGCAAAGTTTTTTAATATAAGTTCTTCAAAAAATTTAAAATGAACTAGAAACGTCACATCTGGGAAACTGAAAGCAATTGAGCAGTCGCATTTGGACGCAAGATTTGCAACTCGTGAGAGTACTCTTACAGTACCCAACTACAACGCTGGGAAATTCAAATTTTGAGAAACTTCACCTTAAGTTGTCTAAAAAAAAGGTATTAATATCTCGAAAACTACAAAATTTGAGAAGTCTTTTTTGATAGCAATATTCGCAATCTTTGAAAGTACACAACTACAGGGTTGGGAATTTCACTTGAACGAATTACTTTGCAATTTAGTTTTCTGAAAATTTCCAAAAAAATCACAAAAATTGTCGTATCTCTAAAAACTGATTTGGGCATTCTTAATTGGAGGCCAAATTTCCAACCCCTGAGATTACTGACAGCCCCCCAACTACAGGTTAGGAAATTCAAACTTAATTTAATTTTCATGAAAATTTTTTTGAAAAAGTTACAAAAAACGTCATATCTGGAAGACTACAATGACTTGAGCAGGAAAATTAGGAGGCAAAACTGCCAAATCCTGAGAGTACCCTGAAGAAGCCTCACTACAGAGATGAAAATTGCGAAACTTTTTATACCTAAATTTTCTGAAAAATTTTGAAAAAAAAACGTAGAAAAACGTCATATCTCGAAAATTACAAGAATTCGAGCAGCCATATTCAGAGACAAGACTCGCAACCCTTGAGATTACCCTCACAATATCCAACAGAAGGATTGATACCTTCAACGTTTTAGAAATTTTTAAAATCTAACTTAAAAAATCATAAAAATTGTCATATCTCGAAAACTACACAGATTTGAGAAGTGAGAATTGGAGGCAAAATTCGCAACCCCTGAGAATACCCTGACAGCACCCAACTACAGGGTGAGAATGTTCAAAATTAAATTTTCTAGAAACTTTTGAAAAATCTCGAAAATTGCCTATCTCGTAAACTAAAAGGATTTGGTTATTCATAGCTGGAAGCCAGAATCGCAAAATCTGGGAAAACTCTGACAAAATCCTACTATTGGGTTGCTAATTTCAAACTTGATGAAATAAACACTGAATTTAAACTGGAAAATCGAAAAAAAAACTTAACCATTGCAATATACGATATAGCTTAAACGTGGAAAAATTCTTTTGTTAAACATGCAAAAATAATCCGTTGAAAAAGCTTAAACATAGCGAGAAAGTGAAGCCCGCATTTAAATTAATAATAGACAATAGATGAAAGTTAAAAAATTAGGCGACGGGTAGACAGACATTATCAAATTATATTAAAAAAAACAAGTATACAGATAGACAGACTTAATTTGGCCTCGAAAAAAACTAATGAACTTGCGAAAAACTAAATGAAAAATTTTTTTAAGCATTGCAATATATGATATAGCTTAAACATGATAAAATTCTTTCGTTAAACATGCAAAATTTTTATGCTTAAACATTGGAGATAGCTGTCACTCGCATTTAAATCTAGTACTAGCGTGTAACGCACCTCCGGTGCTTCGAACTTTTGACAACTCATGACAAACCGCATACATTGGAAACCACATCTGCAGGCTTTTAGTGTACTCTAACAGCACCCAATTAAATGGCTGGTAATTTGATATTTTCTAAATTTTTCCAATTCCAATTTTCTAAGAGTACCCTGGCAGCACCCAATTACAGGGTTGGGATATTTAAATTTTGAGAATTTTTCTAAACCTAAGTTAATTGAAAATTTTGGAAAAATCGTAGAAAAAAAATCCTCATATCTCGAAAACTACAAGGATTTAATCAGTCATGTTTGGAGGCTAGATTTGCAAACCCTATGAGTACCTAGACATCACCCAACTACTGGGTTAGAAATTTCAAATTTAAAAAAATCAAAATTTCGTTTTCTGAAAAACTTAGACAAAATCACAAAAACGTCATATCTGGAAAACCACAAAGATTTGTAAAGTCATAAATGGATGGGTTACAGGGTTAGAAATTTCAAATTTGAAAAAATAAAAGTTTCGTTTTCTGAAAAACTTTGACAAAATCACAAAAACGTCTTATCTGGAAAACCACAAAGATTTGAGCAGTCATGATTGGATGAGATAGGAAAAACTTCATATCTCAAAAACTATAAGAAATTCAGCAGTCATATTGGAGGCAAGGTTTGCAAACCCCTGAGAGTACTCTGATAACCCTTAACTACAGGGTTGGGAATTTCAAACTATGAAGAAAAAAATTTCGTTAAATTTTCTGGAATTTTTTGAAAAATCACAAAAAATGTCATATCTCAAAAACTACAAGAATTTTAGCAGCCATAAATGGAGGCTAGATTCGCAACCCCCTGAGAGTATTCTGATAGCCCTTAACTACAGGGTTGGGAATTTAAACTTTGAAGAAAAAAATTACGTGAAGTTTTCTGAAAACTTTTTTAAAAAAATCACAAAAAAAAGGATATCTCGAAAACTAAAAGGATTTGAGTTGTCTCATATGGATAAAGATACGCAATCTTTGAGAGTACTCTGACAGCACCCAAATACAGGTTTAGGATTTTCAAGTTTTAAAAATTGTTTTGTAATTTGAGTTATCGGAAAAATTTGAGCTTTCGTAATTGGAGGCCAAATTCGCAACCATTTTGTGAGCCCTGACAGCATCCCACTATTGAACTGCTGTTTTAAAACTCGGTGGAATAACCTCTGAAATCAAACTGACAAAAAAAGATAGAAAACGAAAGATAGAAAAAAATTAAAGATTGAAAAAAATAGAAAAAAGATAGAAAAAGAAAAGAAAATCTGTAGAAAAAAAAAGATAGAAAAAATGGATAGAAAAAACAGATAGAAAAAAGGATCGAAAAAAAAAAACAGATAGAAAAAAGATAGAAAAAGAAAGAAAATCCAAAAAAAAAGATAGAAACGCAGATAAAGATTAAAAGAGATTGGAGACAACCATTTGACAGTAGTACTACTTCAACTAAATCGTCGAAACCACATTCAAAGTTTAAAAATTAGGAGACGGATAGACAGAAAATCAAATCAATTTTAAAAAGCAGGTATTCAGACAGACAGACTTAATTTGGCCGTGAAAAAAAAACTGAAAAAACAAGGACCTTGAGGAAAACTAATTGAAAAATTTTCTTAAGCATTGCAATATATGATATAGCTTAAACATGGAAAAAAATCTTTTGCTAAACATGCAAAATTATTAAGCTTAAACATGGGAGATAGCTGTCACTAGCATTTAAACATAGAATAGATAGATAGATGAAAATAGTTACAAAACAGAAAAAAACTCAGAAGCTCTTCATGCCGAAAAAAAATTCTTAATAAAAAAAACTTAATGGGTCTCCTTTCCCTCAGAACACAGACGCACACAAAATAACTTTTCTCGGCCATCAAAGATGCAATAAGGGTTCACTAAGTAGATATAAAACAATCCGGAACCCACTGAGTCGAAAAAAGAAG